TCAGGTTGGTGAAAACTTGTGATTCAGATTTGAAACCATATTGGGCCAGTTTCGGGGGAAAAAGAGCGCCAATGTTCATGTCCAATCTTGCCAGCCCTTTCAGCCGATTCTCAGATTGCGGGACGGCTCAGTTGAAGGGTCAGTGGTAAATGATTTGGTGTGTCCAAAAATCTGGCGCAGCCGCAACCAGGACAGTCTGCTATTTGCAGCGGTGAACAATGAGATACCGATTCCCTTGGTTTTGCCTCCAAGGGATTCCCCATTTGATCCAACTTGACCCATGACCCAGTTTCATTTGGTTGCTTTCAGCCTCGATCTCGGTGGGAGAATGATGTCCACCCAAGTTGATCATGGTTGATCATTGTTGATCATCCATTTCTCCTTTATTTCATGGTCCTAGTCCTAGATCTGGACATATCCCGGATCCGTCCTAATTTTTGCCTCCAGGACCACCACCTGGCGGTGCCGGAGATTCCCTTGGAGGATCAGCAACGACTGCAGCTGATCCCCGTGCAGCTCAGCGCGCAGCAGGGCTGGAGGCAGCTGGACGAACAGTCGGCCTGGCAGAAGTTCAGCCTGCAGAACTTGGAGCAGCGGCAGCAACTGCTGCAGGCAGGGGAAAGCTTGGGGATGGGGGAAGATTTCGGTTTTTTGGAGGGAATGGGAACCACAGATTTGGGGAAGGTTTGGGGAAACGCTGCTTGTTTTCCCCATGCTCCATTCTGATCCTGGGCACAACTGCCATGATTTCAGCTGCCAGGAGGTGTCTTCAGCTGATGTCTTGTGTGCAATTGATTGGACCGGAGCAAAGGCTCTGAAATCATTACCCGAATGTCTGAGAGACAAGCGCTTTGTCTACATGAACTTCAGAGTCTACAGTTGCCCGGATGTTTTGGGGACACTTGATGGGCGAAATCGTTGGAACCAGAAGTTGGGGTCGCTTGGGGGGATGGGAGATCCGCTCCACAGCTTTTGTTGTAGCCTATGCTGCGTCCCCCATATTGCCACATTCTTTCGATGGCTATCAGTGCTACTATTCCTAGTATTTCCTAGTCATTCCTACACTACGTACCCTCATTTGTGGGGAGTCATCCGGGTCTGTATTCTGATTTTTCCTCTTTTTTGCGGCTATGTACCCCTGATTTCTTTAAACATCAATTCTATACGCTAACCATCACCTTTTTTGAAGGTGAACCCTGATATGCTAAATAAATAGCAACTTTTGCTGGAGTTAGATCCCAGTTTTTGCCGGATCAATTCTCAGTGTGGTACCATAATGTACCATAAAAATCATTCAAAATCCCAATCAAACTTGTTGACAGGTGAAATCGCCATTCTCCCGGACAGTTTCGCGTTTGGGCACATCAAGAATGGTACTTTAGGTCCATTTTTGCTCTTAAAGGTTCCATGATAGCTGACTGTAAATTCCTAGCTTCCTGCTGGTACAAAAATCAACATTCCTGGCACATGAAATCATCGTATGTGATGATTTTAATATAGTATGTTTTTGGATGCTAAACATATCTCAAAATCCTCCATCCCCATCTGCCCAGGTTCGGGCGTGGCGCAGGCGGATCGGCGTCTTTGGTTCGACACCGCGGAGCGCGAGGGCTTCGAGGGCGCTGCTGCCGTGGTGGCGCTGTCGCAGCCAGACCGGGAGAAGTTGAGGGAACTGGGCGCAGAGGAGGTGGAGGCCGGTGGCCATAGGACCCACGGGGGATTGGTTTCATGATTTTCATGGGAAAGTGGGAACTACTTTTTCGCATAAAAACAATATAAAACCCGTAAAAAGTGGTCACGTTCGCAGGTGCTGCTGCCCCCCTTGCGCGGCGACCTGCAGCGCCTGGCGCTGGGCTCTGCGGCTGATGCGGCGCTGCCGGAGGAGGTGCCACGTCGCGATGGGCGGTGGCTGCTAACGTGTGTGGTGCGGCTGTCGCAGGTGCGGCTGGTGGGACTGGAGTGGGGCTGGCTTTGGGAGTTGCACGGTTTCACCACAAAAGATGAGAGAAATAGAAATAGTGATTGGAATTGAATGATGATGCTGCTCAAAGGAAAGTAGGTTGGGCATGTTGACAGTGTTTTTGGCAAAGCAACTTCGTATGAACCGGTCACAACTACCCATGGTTGCCTGAGCACAACTCATCATTGTATGTTCCTGATTCTGGTGTTTGCACATGGCCGTTGCATGGCGAAGAACATTTCCGTAGGAGTCTATAGGAAAGGCCAGTCACTGGTGAAAACATGAACAACATATTGATATTGGGATGTATTGGGCCACTTCCAGGTTGGTTGGGGAAGCTTGGAAGAACAATTGGGATGAATCATAACCGGAGGCTGATGATTGGGCAGCAAGATCTATCCAGCGAATTCCAGCGACTTCTGCTACGTAGCTGCTTTTATATGCTTTTATCATTTACTCTATCCCTTCCACCAAATCAGACCTTTACAGACCTGTGGTACATTTTTTCCACCAGATTTAAAGGAAGACCCACACCTCCCCACAATTGAGCCATTTTCGGTGCAGTTGACACATGTCCAACGAATAAGCGGAGGAGAAGCAGGCGTTGCGCTTCGTTCGCTTGATTCAAAGACTTCAAAGCTCCGGCGTTCTGAAGGAGTTGGGCTTAGTACCTCTCCTGGCAGGTGCCACTGGAGATGAGGCCTACGCAGCGCAGGCGTTCGATGCGGGCAGCTATGAAATCTGCAGATGGCCATGATTTTTTGTTCAGTGGAGAATTAGGAGATTCGTTAACCGAATCGAAATCATCCCCTTACCAAACGTGAAAGATCTTGGAAACCAGTCTGACCCTTCACACTCACGCAGGCAAAAGTGAAACAACAAACACGGGGGGGACAGAAAAACTATGATGGTCAAACACTTGAAAAACTCCACTTCTGCAACTGGTATCATGTGCAGCAAAAGTGTCTCCAAAAAAAGAACTGGCCCAACACCCCAAAGATACCCACATATACCCACCATTTTATCGCCCTTGTTCAAATCCCTGGAAAACATTTAAATAGATTGAGCTCCCTGCCAATTTGTTGGACGCATTCATGCTTGATCATTGATCATACCGTTGTTGCATCCCCTTTCTTTGCTAACTCTTACAGTCATAGTGAATCATAGCGATAAGATGTAACAACAAGAGCAATTCGTATGAACTCATGATAATAAGATAGACTGATAGTCAAGATACACACACTGAATAACACACTGAATAACAACTGACAATCTATGTCACATGTTTCACACAGTGGGATTTTCCTTAGAATCGGCCAGCAGGTGAAGCGTGAGCTCTTAGAGGTCAACAACGAGGCCATTGTGATCTCCAGCTTTTTGACGCCCAAGGCACTTTGCGCGATCTTCGCACACACAGCGCTGACGCCTGGAGCTGTTGACAGGTGTGGGACGCTGTGAGCCGCATCTGAAATCGCACATGCATCAAATGGATTCAAATGGGTAAAGAGACCGAATGATGGTGTACTATTTGTGGAGCTTTGGTGAGCAATTAAGTCGTGATTGTTTACAGATGTTTCAGGACTATGTCCTTCATAATTTGCACAGGTCTAGTGTTGTGGAAAGCGGTTTCGCCGTGCTTTTCCTTGCAACCCAAGAGATGAGATGAATGAACTATGGCTGTCCAGTCACACACCCTCCAGAGTAGGTGGTCAACAAGAATCAGTATTTGCCGTCTGCTTTGGGGTTTTGTGACCCCAAACATTCGGATCCCCGAGATCGCTGCCCTTCCCAAGGGCCACCCCATTTGAATGTTGAATCCTGGCGAACCAAAAACAAGTTTGGATGGTTCCTTTATCTACAGTATGTTTCTGTAGTTCTTCTGGATCCCGAATTAGCATGATCCAATTATCCACGTTACTTCACCCTAGGTATACTTGTTCGTGTTTATCTGTTTTTGTCTATATAATATATATATATATATAATATATATATATATATGTATGTATAATTATATATATATCCCTCTCTCTCTCTCTCTCTCTCTCTCTCTTCCACTTTTGATCCATAATCATCCTCATGAAGATCCATGAACATCCATGAAAATCAAAGAAAATCCACGAACATCCACAAAAATTATACGAAAACCGATAAGAATTATCGTCTCCACCCTTGGGACCCCAACGCCCCAAGGAACGTCCACCCCTGCGCCTACGACGCCTACGGCATGACCGTTGTGGAAGCCGCCGCCTGCGGCGCGCCGTCGCTGCTCGCCACGGGCGCCGGGGCCCATGCGCTGCTACAGGAGGCTACGGTAACGGTGGAGATGCCACAGGAGGACAGTGGGCAGGTGGAGATTTCGCTGAAATGGGCATTTACCAATTATATGAATTTATATGATGTTTATATGATGGTTAATTGTGGATTATTATGGATAATGGGGGATCCCCAGTCGTCACCATAGGTATACTAGGTCTTTTCATTCATGATGACTGATGATTTGGGGGTACCCCCCTTGGATTGTAAACCTCCAAATGGAGATATAGGAGGAATTTACCAATGATACATAGGGAAATTTACCATCTATTGGAGATTTGGGGGACTTTGGAGATGGTAAATCCCACTAATCACTGCATTTGCCAATCATATGATGGTTGACAATGGTTAATTATGGATGATTATGGATAATGATGATTGAGCAGTGTTCAAAACCCTTTTTGCGGACCTTTTTGCGGCTTGTTCTGCGTCTCAGTCTAGCGGAGCACGCAGATGTGCCAGATACTAGTGGAACCATTTGGCAAGCCCCACTCTTGGTTTTTCCCGCAGTTCACACGGAACTGCACCCACCGCCACTTCCAGCTGTCCAAGATCTTTGTTGACGCTCTTGATCTGCCTTTGTCCCAACTGTTCCGCCATCCATCGATGCACACTTTCCAAGTTATTGGGCGACCATCGAAAAGGCACACTGGGAGACCAGGACTGCCATCGATAATTGTCAGGACTGCCATCGATAAAGGTTTTTGCTTTTAAAGGAAGGATATGCTACTCTGATCAAGTGATGCATAAAGTGAACAAAACTGCGGCATTCACGGACTAAGTCATACGGCACATGAGTCGGCTGAACATCCCAACGACTATGACAGTCTTGCTTCTGCACACCACGCAAACCTGTAAAAAGTTGGAAGGACCAAAACAACTCATACCATGTGACCCAAACTGCAGGCACTTCTGAATCTCCCTGGATATGGTGCAACCATTCTCGCACTTTATAAAACTGTGAAAACTGCATTTGAGGGGGAGCATGGATTGCCTGTGCACTCACTACTGACATGGAAATTTCAGTACTCTCATCAATCGGTTCTCTGCCAGCCTTGTCAGGGGGAGCATCTGCTCCCATAGTTTCTGCTTCCCAGCAAACTGAAAACATCCCTACTTTCACAAAGTGCGCATGCAAATGTTTACATAATGTTGAGGATAGACTCACTGCTTCAGCCGCAGCCCGCTGGGCATTCAACACGTCAGGCGGAAGAAATGACAATGCTTCACATGCCACCCAATCTGCCCAATCGTTTCCCGCAAAAACCCACGCCAGAAAATCATCATCCTCTGGCGGCTGTTGATGAGAATCCACCTTATGAATCGAGACTCTGGTGTTATCATGCAGTAACGAGGCAAGTGCGCCCCAAAGGTCATGGTCTGGCCGCACTGGCGATGCAACCCATTTCCCTGCCTGTATCAGTTTAAACCTGCGTACAACTGTGGCGTTGTCACACCATATCCTCGTCCCGCCTGGATTGAGTCGAGCCACATGTGCAGCCTCAACCACCGCCCGCAGTTCTGCACGTAGAATTGTCTGCCATTGTCCTGGCACCGCACCATTGGCCAATGTACGGAACTGTCGATCTTCCGGATGCCCTACGGCCTGCACCAATGACCAGGATGCAAGTCGCGCAACTGGGATGTGTGGTGAAAGGCAGCTACCATCTGTGAACAAATCAATCTCCCCGGAAGAAAAGTCCAAGGCCTGTGACACTCCAACATATGATGGCAAACTCTGCAGGACATGCTTAAAATGGCGCACTTCGGCCGGCTCCACCATCCATCCCCTCTCCGCAGTACACTGCGGCAGGGCATCCACTTGGCTAAGCACTGCGGGAGGGACCTCTTCAAGGAGTCTGGACTCCCGCAAAATTTACACCGGTCATTATCTACCTGTTTTGCTGTGTGCAACTGATCGTGTGTAATGAAAGTTCCATTGTGTAAAACTCGCATCAGACCTACTTCATCTGGAGTCCAACGTGGATCCACCTGTACACTGGTGGGCACATCAACCAGAGCCAAACCTTTAAAACCCTTTCTGTAAGCATGCTCAGCTCCAACACGGTGGTACCATGCTCTCTTGCAGCGAAACTTCAGTTCTTGGATGGGGCAATGCATGATATCAATCAGTTCTCCATCCTGGTCCAGAAATTTAAAATGCTGCACGTAAGTCCACCCCAAGCTGGTGAGGCGGGCAGCCAAAACACCACAGGGGCCCGGCTTTTTGAGGCGATCCGGTGTCCAACAAGCCAAAGCCAGCGTAGAACTGGCCACACTCAAATCTGAAAACTTTCGAAACTGAAAAAGGGATTGCCAAAGCACAAAGAAACCCGGATCTTGATGTGGTGCCTGCGAAAGTCCAAATTGAAGGCTGGGTGCTGCACCTGATTTATCCAACCTCAAACCTTTCATTGCACCTGCCCGCAAGTCGGTCAGGATGGCTTCGGCAAGATGCACCGTGCTGGAGGCATGTAAAGCTCTAGGCCATGCCACCGCCGTCAGCACACGCAATTTGTGTTTGAGCGGTGCTGGGCTCTGCGCTAAGGAAGGCCACAAAGCTTGCAAGTCGGCACATTTTTGTTTGACTGCACCATTGGTTTGGCGACCACAGTATTGCACATGGGCTCCAAGATCTTTCTGTTGCAGGTGGACTGGCAAGTGCGAGTCTTTCAACTGCTGCCGCCCCTGAGTGTCTAATGCCCATGCATAGGTCTTGTTGCTGTCACAAGGAACCCCTAAAAAGGTAGTAAAATTCTGGAGAGCCCGAAGTCCATCCAGTGCGTCATCTGTACTATCTGAAAGCAGCTCCAAGTTATCTACATAGGAGAACATGAGAACCCTGGGACAACGGACAGCCATGAAACTGTGAATCACCAAGTTGCATAAGCCCATTGCGGCCACTGAGAGGGCACAGCCTTCTGGAAATCCCGTACCACTTCGAACTCCTTCACTTGGCTGCCCACGCACCCAGAAAAACCTTTTAATGCCAATTACTGCTGCCGCCCAAGCTCGGACGATTTCGGCAGGAACACCTATCTGAATGGCTGCATGAAAAATGGGCTCACGAGGGAGACAATTAAATGCACGGACCAAGTCGGTGACCAAACCACTGCCAGCTGCTCCATCATAAAGGTTTTGTTCTACTACCGATTGAAGGTGATACCACAACTCTGGCGCACTTCTTTTTGGCATATGTCCCAGCATGGACGGTGGGGCAATTTTCTCAAGATGCGACAAGATTTCTTTGGAGCGGATTGTTCCCCAGCACCTATACACCAAAGGCAATATTGTTACTGGTCGGAAATCCCCTACAAATTCACTTGTGGCGCGCTTTGCTAGCGAGTGTATCGCCCCATTTAGGGCTTGCACTGGCCATTGGCCTGATCGTTCTGCTTCGTGCAGCAAGGAGAGGAGTCTGATGTGTAAGGCATCTGGCATGGCCATCAAATCAGCCTTTGCTACCCCGTCCAATCCCACCGCCGCACGGGACTTTTTAGCGGCGATGGTTTCTTTCCAGGTGTTAAGACTGATTGGTGTGTATGCCATTTCTCCTGCCGGTAATTGGGTCTGAATGAAGTCATGCAGCTCAGTCCAGTGACCGGCAGGCAAGTGCAAATGCTTATCCCAAAGTCTCGACCATTCTTGTGTAAAGGCTTGATGAATTTCTGCTACAGAACCTAGCAAGTCAGTGCGTGTGAGTTTCTCACCCGGAGAGAGACCATGTGGCTGCGAGAATTGCACTTGTTGATCATTGATTTGCACCGGGGAATGCACACCATGACAGGACTTCCAAGGCTGCCAATTTTCTTTGGGAGGAGCAGGGTCACACTGCACTGTCCATTGATCTACTACTTCAAGCACGGTCATGTCTTTGTGAGCAACAATCACCTGCACTGGCTCAGGCCCTGGCTTTCTAACATCTCGAAAGATCTGATTTGCATCAGCTTCATATTTGGCAACATTCCGCTCCCGACGGTGTTGAAGGAGCATGTTTTCACAAGCCTGCAGCTCGATGCGAAAGGCAGCCAAAATGGCCATTGCTAATTTCCATGCAGGGGCTAATCGTGGGATCAACAACGGGTCACTTGCATTTTGAGTAGCACGTGTAGGCCACCAGTTGGCAAAGCTGGAGCCAAATCCGGGTGCATTCAAAATGGCCCGCCACAGGCGGAACTTGTGCTCTTGTGCTGAAATTTCTGGGCGGTCATGCTTGACATGGTTGACATAAGAGACTAACCTACGCACCTGAGTAAACCACCGTTTATGCCGCAGATTAATCCCCTCAAAGGATGGCTGTTCCTCCCCCGGTCGGGAAGGCTTCAAAGGGGCAACATGTTGCGTGGAAAAGGTCCTATCCCTAGTGCATCCCCTACCTTTCTGCTGGGGCAGCAAGCCTGGGCTGCCATGACTGCGTTTCACTCTGTGCACCACCTGCTCAAAGTCACCAAAGATCTTTGCATATTGGGAGGAGGGGTCTTCGGCTTCATTAAATGCTGCGCATTCGGCTTGGCGGATAGCCTGAACCTCCTGTTGATCTTTATACACTATGGGCATCGGTTTCACCCATTTTGCTTCTGGAATGTGGGCATCTGGAAAAGCAAGATATGCTGACAAAACTGAGTGATCGGGAAATTGCGCCCAATCATTGGAAACACTCTGAACCAACTGCTGCAGAGAGGGTGACAAAAACAGAAAATCTTTGCGACTGGTGCGCTTGCAAGTCGTGCCTGGTTCGACCTGCCAACGTTCAAAAGCAATGTCTTGAATTTCTTTCCAACCCCACGACTCCCACAGTTTGGTCTCATGTAAAGAATCATAGTGTTGGTTCCAGTCCCCAGCTATGAACGCAAACTTATTCTTATTGGGAAGGACTTGCTGTGTGATATCTTGCAGAAGTTCCTCAGTCATTGCTCTAGTTTTGGCACTGTCACTCTGGTGGGCATAGCCATACGCCACTGCCCCTTGCAACCACATGTTTTGGACAAAGAAGTGCCCTCCAGTCACCCTGCAAGATTCTACAGCTGTGTCCGACCATCCCTTGACAATCGGACGGGCCGGACAAGTGGACAAAAATCCGACCCCTGTTTGTTTACCTCCACAAGAATTGGTAGCATTCGACCTATAGGGGGCTGGAGGTCCATGCATCAATGCAAAAGGGGACTTGGTGCCCCTCAGTTCTTTCTTAAAACGAATTATACCCTGGGAAGTCAAGTGAGTTTCAGAAACCGCCACTATACCTGGACCCAAGGATGCAAAATCGGCTGCCTTGCCGGACATTCCAGTTGGATTGCAAGCAGATATGCGCCACAGCTGAGGACCTGGATTCATTGCTTCCCCAATTCTGTGACATTTCAGCCAAAAGACCAGAACATCATGCAATGTCGGGGTTGGCTCAGTTCTATGGCACCACTGCTTCAACATCCTATAGAACATTTGTCATTCCTGCCTAGGGCGTTTACTCAACAATGCTTCGATGCGAGCAAACTGATCAGCCAATCGTTCGTCCATGTGATTCTGGATTTTCTGTGTCTGCGATTCCACTTGGCTTCCGATCAACTCCACCTTTCTCTCCAGGGACTGCTGCTGCTTGGTCAATCCCTGCTGCTGCTGCTGCATTTGACGAACCTGATGTTCCAGGGCACTGATCCTACCTTCATCTTCTGCTACCATTACTGCATCAGTATCTTTCGACTGAACTTGCTGCAGCACCCTTTGTGTGATGGAAGCTTCCCAACTAGAAATCTGTGCTGACGAAAGACCTGTAGGCTGAGCACTAGGCAACCTCGCTGCTGCTGCTGCCCAAGGATCTTGCATAGAGTGCTGTTGTGCTACTGCTCCACGTGTGACTGCTGAGGCTTCCGCCTGGCCAAGTGCCAGTGTCTTAGCATCTGTGGGATCAGATTTGACAATCAAAACATCTCCATGTGACAGGGTATACACATAGTGGGCTGGAGGCCCTTCTGCGACTACTTGCCAACGCAACCCAGTCCTATCAGCTGAGGGCCCCGTCGGTTGAAGCGGCTTGGCTGACCAACCCCATGTCTCAAACAGCTTGGTCAGAGCTTTGCGAGTGGTGCCATATGGTACCGGGCCCAAGATCCAAGTGGACTTTGCTGTCCCAGCCAAAAACGGCACCTCAGGGCGGATGAAATTGTGCAAAGCTTTAGCCTGCTCTACTGATACCCGCAGGCCAAAGCGATTTGTGACCCTCACTAGGCAGCTGGGAATTTCTGCTGTGGACTGTTTTGCAAGGGCTTCTTCATAGGATGATTTAGGCAACCATACAGTGTGAAACCTCTCATCTTGTGACCGCCCATCATGAGCTCTAGCTTCGATGTAAAGACCTGTTGTGCCCGACTGAGAATCAACTGCTTGGAACGCCTTTGCAGTCACTCGCATCATGCATGAGAAAATGGCAGCTTCAGCAGGTTTAGAGCGCTTGAAGTGTTGTGTCATCCAATCACGCTGCCAAATGTCCAGGATTGGTTCAGCTGCATCTTCATCGGTCGGGTGCCAACCCTGACAGTGGCAATCAGGCATTTTGCAAAGACGCAAGCAAGGCAAGATGTCAAGTATGGCCTTGACCGGGCGATCCACAATTTCTTCCCATCCCTTGGGTGCTTGGTCACGATACAACAGAATTTTCAACGTCTGAGTCGGCACTGTGTCAACACAGACTGGCTGCTTCGGTGTCAATCTTGTCACTGGAGATGCACCCTTTTGAATCAAAACTGCAGAAAGCAAAACCGGCTCACTGGTTGCAGTGCTCTGGGCTGGAAACCTGATTGTTTCCCCTTGCATTTGGATCTCTTGAGAAAAGGGAGCCAAAACCAGGAATGCCAAACTCTCTTTCGATATTGTTTTCTGCTGTGAGTACGGCTGCAACTCCGCCTCCGAAAGGACTACAACCCCCTTAGCATTGGGTGAGATGTTGCGGGCTGGAATTTGTGCCAAAGGTGCACCACTTTGCTGGCAAAACACTCCCTCAGGAATGGCAACATCTTGCGGAGTAAACACCGCCGATTGCTGTGGCCTACTTGTTTTCTTCTTGGTGCCAAATTTGTTGTCCTTGCCGGTGCGTGATTTCACTACGTGGCTAAATTCATCTTCCCAAATCAGGCGAATTTTGGGTGTATGCTCATTAGCCAGTGCCTTCAAAGCAGCCCATGGTCTGGCCGATCTCAAGGCTTGAGTCACCGGCTGCTGTCCCAACTGCTGCAGTACTGATTTGGTGCGGTCAAGAACTCGATTTGTGAAAACCCCATGCTCTCTCAACATTGTGGCCACTGCTGTTTCCAGTTCTGATTGACCACCCAGCACAAATCTTTGAGTGTGGGATTTGAGGGCACTCCACAAATGATCATACCAGAAATTCAGACGGTGGCAAATGGCAGTGTGTTCAGTCATGGCATGTGGCGATTGCAAACCAAGCGCTCCAAGGAGCCATGCGATAACCTGAAAACCACAATCCTCTCGAAAACATGTAGGCAGGTCCACTGTGGAGGCTGGACTCCAAACCACTGCACTGCTTGCAATCTGATTCCAGAGTCGAAAACCCTCCGGGCATGACGAAATTTCAACTGCATGATCTGCGGGAGTTGCCAAAAAAGGAAACCAATGGTTGTTATGCCATACTGCAGTGATAGTCGGGCATGTCACAAAAGCCAGTCTTTCACCCCATTCAAGTCTATCACTACTCCCTTCCTTCCCACAGATCAACGGTTGTAGATACTCACAGTGGTGCTGCTGTGCCATGCGCTGCAGATAGTAGGTCATCTCATCATCAGCAACTGCCCCCGCCTGGTGGAACAATGCAGTAGTTCGATTACACTGCTCCAGTGCGCAAGTGCGTAATGTTAGCTGTGCAGCCAACAATTGTGGATCTTGACCTGTGGCGATCAGTCGGTGCAGTCCATGCTGGGTGCTCGGCTTCAATGGTCTCCCCAGCAAGTCATAGACTTCGGCATCCCTTCCCAAGACTGAGAAAACCACTTCGTTCACCTGACAAGCTGCATCACAGATGGGGAGGACATGGTACGTCATGTCATCAAAGTCCAAAAGGATGGTATGCCCTGCATTAATTGCATTGGCCAACAACTCAACTTCATCGGCTTCACCGGAACTCTGGGCATGGTGATTTGCAATTGTTCCCCCTGCGGAGGGCTGTGTGGACAATCCATGGGAGGGGCCCCCAGTGTTGGAAACTGAGGGCATGGCATGAAAGCGGGTTGGGGTGGGGACATCATCAGCCATCTCAACCACCAAGGCATGATTCCTGGACTCATCATCATTGTTCAATACCGCCTTCAATACTACTTTCGGCTGCAACGTGTTGGTGCTCGGAGACCTGACTTGCAATTGGGACTGGGCCGGTGCACTGATTTCTTTGTCGGCTCTGACTCCTGCAGCTATCTTGCCATGATCTCCTGGGCATGTGGCAATCACACTTTCTGCTATGGGCACATGGGAGGGACCCAAGGTGTTGGAAACCAAGGGCATGGCCTGAAAGAGGGGTAGGGCGGGTACCTCAAGCTCATCTCGCACATCAGAGCTTCCATGGGCTGGGCTGTTCTTGTCATCCATGTGATCTACTTGAACCCCGCCAAGCAACATGATGAACTCTGAAGGGCTTTCACCATGCATGAGCAAATGTTGCCAAAACAGTGCACGCCAGTTCGCAGCTGTTCCGTAGGACATGGCTTTCAGTGGTATTTGTAATGCAACATGAGTGACCCATGCAAACGTTTGGAATCCACAATCCTCTGGAAATTCGCTTGGCAGATCATATGGAACCTGTACCTGAAAGTCTGCGGAAGCTACTGTGGGAAACATCAAAGGCCAAATGTCCACTCCAGCCACGGTTGTCTGGACAAAGTACCCTTCAGGTGTTTGAGAAATCACCATCAGGATCCAATGGTAATTGTGCCACACTGCCGAAACAACAGTCCCTGAAATTCCCAATGCTTCAGTCATCCATGCCTCAGCCAAAGTGGTAATGTCAGCAAGATCGGAGAGGATCAATGGAGCAACAACCCCAAAACTTCCTTGCTTTTCCAGCCCTTGCAGATAAAAACTCATTTCGTCGGTGGCTACCGCTCCCAATTGGCGAAACAGGGCATCTTTTCGACTCAACTGAACCAATTCTGCATTACGAAACTTGAGCGACTGCATCGGCGCTTTGATGTCAGTTCCAATCGCAAGAAGTTTGTGGCCCTCCAAAGAGTCGGCATGAGTGAGTGCATTACCGAGGCAATCAATAATTTGCACCTCATGTCCTGTCAGCCTCTGTACTGCCAGTTGGAGGTCAGCTGCTGTCTGACCTGCGTCAATTGAGATGGAGTGATATGTTTGTGTGTCAAGATCCAGGATTGCAACTTTCCCTGTTAAAATGGACTTTGCTAGGTTTTGGTCACATTGCTTTGGATGGCTGTCAATGATTTGCTGGGGCTCCCGTGCGACAGGTTGTACCTCCGCACTCTGAGTGCTGTCAATCGGCGCTGTGGGCTTCCGAAAAGCAAGCAACCCCCCAACTGCGGAGAACCCCGAAACTGTACCCTGATCATTACGGTCTCTTTCCATAGGGGAGGGACCTGAGGTGTTGGAAACCCCAGGCATGGCCTGAAAGAGGGGTCGGGCGGGACATTGTCTCTTCGGAGCACTGGATGCAAATTCATGGGAGGTTTCCCTCTGCTTGAAACCCTTGACCGTGGATGAGGCTTTTGCAGATAGGCTGTCCGCTTCGCTGAACTTGCCTTGCATTTGGTCTGGTGCAATCGGTCTGTGTGTCCTATTCAGGAGCTCCCCAGCTGTGGAAACCTGAGAAGGCTTCAATGAACTCTGCGACATCGGGAAACTGATTCCCCCAGTGGTCGGATGAATTGTGGCTGTCACCACAGGCCTGGAAGTACCTACACTGGGTGGAGTTTGCATGTCATCCGGCAATTTGGCCAAGTGAAAGTTCTCGCAATCTGGCTCTAGATCTTTGGCAATCTGCTCACTCATGTGTTCGGCCAATGGCCTCCCCTGCCCTTCATTGTCAGTGGCAAAGCTATCTTTGTGGGTCGGTCCAACTGCAGCTGATTCAGGGACAGACACTACCGGCTTGACGGATGCATTCTCCACTGGCACGGATGCAAAGGTCCCTGCCTCGGATGCCCCAAACCCTGTCACTGTTGCATGGCTCTCACCCGCTTTGCTCTGATCAGTGTCAGAGTTGGCCTGTGCAGGCTCTGCTGGCATCCTGTGCAGCGACAGCTGTTCCCCGGGGACTGCTGGGTTTGTCTCCTGCTTGGAGTTGTGATGGGTAGTATCTTTGGGGGAGTCCTTTGGTGCCAATAGTTCCTCAACCGTTTCTTGGAACATGGTCATGGCAACTGTCGGAGGAACCTGAAACCATTGATCTCGAAGGGAAAACAGGTCTTTGCAAACACATGCCAAAATCTGACGTGGTGTGAATCTGATCAGGCCAGCATACTTCATATCAAACAGGTGATCCCGAAGGTGTGAGAAAATCCATGCAGCTTGAAGTGGGGATGCAATCTGGCCCAAACCCGCCATCAACAATCTTTGAGGAGAATCCCACCCTGCCTTCATTGGGTATCCCAAAAGGAGTGCCATTTCTCTGGGTGAAATGTGACGCAAATCATGCTCTGAAGATCTGGCTGCAACTCTAACCAACGCCCCAAACAACCCTGAACTTTTCAACCGTTGCAAACTGAAGGCTGGACGGCAACCACAGGCACAAGGCTGTCCCTGATTTCCCCAACTATGCAATGCAGTGTTGAGTGGACCATTTGGATTCACCATCTGAGATTCAATCCCCTTGCCATAGTTATGGAACAGTTCACTCTCATGCGGTGTGAGCATCAGTTGACGGAATTCCATTTCGGAAACTGGCAAGAAATCAGGAAAAAGACCTTTGATCGTGGGCATTTGAGGCAGTTTGGGAAATGGTTGCAAAACCACCTTTCCATAGTGACCCCTGGAAATGATCTGCCACCAACGACGTCTCTTTGATGGCCAGATGTCACCTAGCTCCAAAACAACTTCGGACTTATCACCTGCAACCATGCGCAAGTGATAATCAACACACCGCTGCACAAAAGGGGATGTTGACGCTTCTGTGACGCACTCAGTGATGAAATCCATTTGCAATAAGAACCCTGCATACAGCCCAAATGGCAAAGTAGCAGAACGCTCATCCATCCCTTGTTGGTTGTCTCCTGCTTTGGAGAAGGGCTGACAACTGAACCCAAAGGCAAGTGCCGCTGCATTGGGAGCAGCTTGATGCAACTGAGCAACAGTGCTCAAATGACAGATATCCCCCTCAATGTTTGGAACCTTGAAGTGTGTCTTCATGTGTTTGCAAAAACTGGACATGAGTTCATTGTGAGCTTTGACATCCCAACCCGCATAGGACGCACCTAGTCCAATTCCTCCAATCCCACTACACGTCTCAACCAGTTGCAGCAAATGTGAAGAGTCTCTGGGACCAAACTGCAGCAACTCAGATTCGTCATCTAGCCGGATCACTGGACCTCGATGAAAGGATACCAACCCATTGAGTACAGTCACTGTTGTAGTCCCCTCGGCTAACTCTGCATGAAGATGAAAGCTTTGAGAAGAAAGCTGAGACCTACAAAGATGGCCAGAACTGCCCTTGGTGTCAGTCATGCATACCCTAGCAACTACATTGGTTCGTGTGCTCATGTTTGCACATCTCATCAGGTTTTCCTCGTAGATCGGCAAGCCTTTCCAGTTTCCACTGTCATGTACTTTCACCGCGAAATCCATGGGAGCAAACACAGATGGAGCGACTAGTTCAGGCTTTCGTTGAAACCGGCATGCCTGGCTGGTAGGCACCTGAACCGAAACCTTGTGTTCAAAACCCCTGTCAATATCTTGGGGATTTACCAATCATACTAGTAACTAGTAGTAGGAATTTGCCAATCATGGCTGGCTGGGAATCACGAGAGCGAGGAGGGAGCGCTGAGGGACAAAAAGGGAGCCAAGGAGTAAGGAGCTAGGATTTTAGTTTCCCAACCACATGATAGGGAATGGGGGGAATGGGGGGATGGGATGATGCTGAAGATCTATGTATGGGATGATATCATATATACAATTATACATATGTAATATATAATATACACATAGATTATATATGTAGTGTTTCTAAGAATTGAATTGCCCGTTGATGTACCCACTTTACTCCACAATCTTTAACTTTTCAAAAACAGGTCCATCTCATGTCTTTCAAAATTATAGGGAGTTTTTCTTTTGAGATTTATCTTCATCTATATCTATATCTCTATCTCTCTATCTAATCTAATCGAATCCAATCTAATCCAATCCAACCTAATCTAATCTAATCAAATCTGATCTAATCAAATCTGATCTAATCAAATCTGATCTGATCTTATCTGATCTTATCTGATCTTATCTGACCTAATCTGACCTAACCTAATCTATCTACCTAATCTATCTACCTAATCTATCTATCTATCTATCTATCTAGCTATCTGGCTATCTGGCTATCTAGCTATCTAGCTATCTAGCTAGCTATCTAGCTAGCTATCTAGCTAGCTATCTAGCTAGCTATCTAGCTATCTGTCTATCTACCTACCTATCAATCAATCAATCTATCTATCTATCAATCTATCAATCTATCTATCAATCAATCAATCAATCAATCTATCTATCTTTCTATCTATCTATCTATCTATCTATCTATGAATCTATCTATGAATCTATCTATGAATCTATCTATGAACCTATCTATGAATCTATCTATGAATCTATCTATGAACCTATCTATGAATCTATCTATGAATCTATCTATGAATCTATCTATGAATCTATCTATCTATGAATCTATCTATGAATCTATCTATGAATCTATCTATGAATCTATCTATGAATCTATCTATGAATCTATCTATGAATCTATCTATCTATCTATCTATCTATCTTTAATCTATCTATCTATCTATCTATTTTTAATCTATCTATGAATCTATCTACCTATCTATCTATCTATCTATCTATCTATCTATCTATCTATCTATCTATCTATCTAATCTATCTATACTATCTATACTATCTATACTATCTATCTATCTATACTATACTATACTATACTATATTATACTATCTATCTATACTATCTATCTATCTATCAATCTATCAATCTATCAATCTATCAATCTATCAATCTATCAATCTATCTATCTATCTATCTATCTATCTATCTATCTATCTATACATCTATCTATACTGTATATCTATCTATCTATCTACCTATCTATCTATCTATCTATCTTTCTATCTATCTATCTAGTATATCTATCTATCTATCTATCTATACTGTATATCTATCTATCTATCTATCTATACTGTATATCTATCTATACTGTATATCTATCTATCTATCTATCTAGTATATCTATCTATCTATCTATCTATACTGTATATCTATCTATCTATCTATCAATCTATCAATCAATCTATCTATCTATCTATCTATACTGTATATCTATCTATCTATCTATCTATCTATCTATCTATCTATCTATTTTTACTGTATATCATTATATCTATTCAGCATTCCATCGAAAATTTCCATAGCTGATTTCCCAAACACTTCACCCCGACGTTCCCCAGGAGCAGCAGGTGCCTGAGGAGATGGTGAAGAGCTTGGAGGCGGCGCTCAGAGATGATGTCAGGCACGGCACAGCACGGTTTTGCCCCAAAAAATCCGAATGGATGGGTTGGATGGCCATCATTTATCCAATGAAGATGGTTACCCATCCCATCTCTCTTTCTCTATATGAATATCTACACTTGTATTTGTACGATAGATCGACTGATAGACTTAGTTGGAGTATAAGAATGATAGATGATATAGACATATCATGTGGATAGATGTAGATAGATCTTGGGTGGGTCCAGCCTTCATCGCGCTGAGGTTGGAGCAGCTGGGTCGTGAGGCCCAAAGGAAGGCCTTGGAGTGGGACGAGTTGGCCTATGGCCGCCGTTTGTTGGGCATCTTGTGCCCATAGGATTTCGTGATTTTCGTGGCCATGGCAGCCATGGTGCAGGTGCGGTTGCCTGAATTTTATGAGGTACATAGGCATGTAAGACGAAATTTCAGAAAATGCTGGATCCTGAAATCCACCATTCGGTGGTCTGTGAGAATTCATAGTTGCGCAGGTGGTTTTCATCCTCGCCATTGGTTTCTAGAGATCCACATCCACAAGGGCGGATGCCGGGGTGGTGTGTCCCCCCCGATCAACTCCTAAAACAAGGGGTGAGCTCGACAGGCGACACTGCGCACAGTCCAAAATATTGCGGTCGTGGGGCCTTGATTTTCTTCAGGAACTCTTGGAGAACTAGTTGCATTATAGATAAGGCTCGATATAGCTTTCAATATTCTTGATCAACGTATGGACGAAAATGGACGAAACACGCACCTTAAAAGTCCACCATTGGTCAACGGAGAAAGCAGTGAACTTGCAAATGGATTCCTCCGCGCAGGTGCAGCCGAAGCTGAGTCTGAGGGTCATCGACTGATCAAACTCTGAAGGCCACAATGGCCCTTCTGAATGTGGGATTTCTGGGGGTGTCTTGGGAACCATAGCGAACACAACCATTTGCCAAAAGAGACTATCTATGCAAAGATATTCTATACATAGTATTTTCATATGTGCATACGCACATGTTATAGAGATATTGAATTGGTAAGTTAGGCTTGGCTTGGGTGGTCCCTCAGATTTATAAAGGGCACCACAGATCCCAAGTGCCAGAGAGAACCATCTGAGCTGGTGCACCTTCGGTGTGGGATGCATTGCGTTTCACCAAAGGAACTTGCATGTGCGGTTGGAGATGTTCGGAGCAGCTCCTGCCGTGGATGGTGAATGTAGAGAAGTAGCTCAAAGGTGTGAACCATGACCAGATTTGTAGGTCCACATTTTTTTGTCATCAGGAACGTGTGCTGACGTAACAGCGGATGACATGTGTATTCGCTGCAGCTCCCAGCATCGCCAGCTGCGCACGAAAAAAAACTGGCTGGCTGCTTTAAGAAGAGGTGGGCCTGGTGTCATCAATACATCCGCGAGACATGCTCCAGACAGGATGTTAATTTGGCACCTTCGACTCAAATCGGATATCTCTCAAGATGACGTTCCCTGCCAAGATGTAATCCTTCAGGTTCCAAATCATTTGGACCATGATTTTGGATGAGTTCTAAATGATTTTGGATGATTAATTGAATGAGTTTGGGTGATTTAGAGTGATTGGGACTGAATTTAGATTGATTTCGTAGATCTCAATCATCCAACTCAGCTACCCCTCATACCCCCTGACCATCCCAACTATACGTTTTTTTTTTTTTTTAAAGAGAAGACACGCGTTAGGCCAAGCGCTCGGTCTCCAAGATGTCGGACTTCGACCTGGCGAAGCTCAGCTGTGATTTCTCCAAATGCTGACTGTTCAACGATGAGTTCATCGATGATGATGATGATGACGATGATCATAGAATGAATATATCATAATATAATTATATATATAGTGTTGAATCTACTATCATTAATGAATCTAAAGTCTATGATATATCATAATAGAATGGTAGATCTTTGACAATCTATGGATATGATGATAGATCTATGATCACGATGATAGATTTATGATCTATGATGATCTATGATGATCTATGATGATTGTACACCATGGGATATGGCGTTTGGTTCTAAGAAACCATGGTTTATGGCCATCTATGATGATTTTAGTATGATTCGTGATTCATGATGTTGTTGCTTTTACCATGATTTACGATGAATGTTTGAGTTTCTTTTTGTTTTAAATCACCTGCAATGATGTTCACCATGATTTGCAAATATCTGTAAATATTTTAAATCAAAAATTACTATGGTTACTAAGCATTATTTAGTGCGATGTGTTACAATTTAGTCTGGGTACAGCATTTACATCATCAACATGTGTATCAAGATCCGAGAAACGGAATATAGAAGAGCAGATGATCGACGAATCACGAAAATAACCAAACTATCAACATTCAGCAGAAGAAAACCACAGATGGATGGGGTTATTTTAGTATTTTTTGGTAGCACGTCTCAACCATTGAGTGTTTTCTTCACCGCATGACTCAAACCATATCCATGTGAATTTTGGTCGGGTAGGAAGCCTTCAGCAACGGTCTGAAGGTTGTGCCCGGTTTCCGATTTTGTGTTCCCAAGGTTCTCATGGAGATTCTTGAAAGGTGTTTTGCAAGTTGGGATAGTGGGGCATGAAACTGTGGCTAATTTTTTTTGGGATGTTTTTGGTTCGCCATGGTTGAACAAAAACTGTGGGTGTCCAGAAATGTCAAGTTCATACGCTTTTGTCTATGATTGCTGTCACGCATTGATCTGTGGGTTTTACAGCCTAGCTAGCATCAATGGGCTATGTTGTGCAGATGTCTTCAGGAACATGGCTGACAACCCTGCCTCACCAGGCAGCACATTCTTCCAAGATAGCAGTGGTGACTTTTCTAACTATGAACATAATTATATAATATATGTATATATATATATATACCTGAATGATATGGATACTACATAGTACTACACATAATATATATATATAATATGGATATTACCAACGGTTTGTTTGTTCCAGAACAGGAAAACCTCTTGGGGCTCCCAATTCTTATGGAATTTCTGGTGCCTGTCTCAGCTGCCAAGGTTAGACCCCAGTTGTGATCAACAGAGGGCAGTGCCAGACTGGGAGGTTGCTTGGAGCAACAACATTCCCACGAGAAACCCATTCCTAGTCTCAATGAGAGTATTATATGTCATGTAAGAAGTAAAGATAATGAAGATTCATGATAATCACTGTGTTAATTATCTAGTTGACTTATATCCTCAGGCCACCTACACAGCCATTCCAATATGAGCAACCCTCCGCCATTCGAAGAGCTTGTCTGTTTGCATTTCGGTTGGACGATTACGGTAAGTGCCAGTCCGAACTTTGTGGGTCAACTGAAAACTACGTGGAAGTACAACAAGGCGACTCTACTGATGCACGTTTTTTTAGGTCAGGCAGTACCCAAATCCACATCGTCCGTAGCGAAAAGCTGCCCATTGGGCCCCTGGTCGCAACTGGCCTATCGGATGAAGGAACATGAGGGAACCACTGAAAATCACTTACCCTTATGATGCCCCTCTGAGAGGTGGCAACCTTTGCCCAAACTGTTTGGTAATGGCTATAGCGACTGCGCGGTCTGGAAGGATCCCCCCACTGAATAATTATAGACGAATGAGCGAATAGCTGCGAAGATTCACTGCGGGATCGGCGCGAACGAACGACCCGGTCCGGGGTAGAAACAAGAAAGCGCAAGCCCGGAAATCCAACACATTCCAAAACAAAATATCAACACGTGTAATTGCGAATTCCAACACGTGTCATTGTAACCTTCACCGGGGAGAACACTGTCATGACACCGCTGCCTAAACGCCTTTTTGCGCTCAGCATCAGAGCGGCTGTTATCTTCTAGACTGCTTCCGCGACGATGAAGGGTCATGTACTGCACTGGTTGTAACTGCTGGCGTGCTTTGGTAGTGACGTTTGCACCGTTTTTTATTTCCAACCATTCTTGGGATGCGAGTTGCTTTTATCTTCGTGAACCGTGGTTGCTTCCCGAAGATACCGTACGTCTGAAATCGCCCGAAAGAACGATACGTCGACCTTAGGTTACGTGGATGCGGTGCGTGTTGCAGCACTATTTGTATCCAGCTCCGGGAAGCTAGAGCCGCAAGACATTGTGGTTGAAAGTGACTAAAGTGGCGGCGTCAAGACAGTCTTCAAAGAAGTCTAACAGCAACAGTATAATCATAATTATAATATATATATATATCTATAGATGGTTCCAAAATGTTTCAGAAAGGTTGGTTCAAATCATGCCATGACCAGACTCCATCAGCAATCGCCTCCGTGTGTCGTGGCTTCAACGTGATACCAGTGGCGACTTTCGTCAGCCGCTTGCCCAAAAGAAAACCTCCGTTTCAATGGCGTTGCAACACTGTGCAAACAGATGGACGTTTTATGAAGCAACTGTTGGAACCAGCCAACTTGTGATTCAGAGTTGAACGTGCATGCCCCGCGTTTTGTTCTGTGAAACATCCTGGCCCATGTTTGCTGCAACCATTAAAATTGAACAAATACGGTCTCAGAAATTACTAAGAAATCAGAAACTGCGTCTCAAAAACTAGAAATATCCGGCTCAAAAACTACGGATTCAGGATTCAAAAACTACGTTTAAGAACGTACAAATTCACGTCTCAGAAACTATGATTACACGGTTCAGAAACTAGAGATTCACGGGTTCAACAATCCGTCTCAGAAACGACAAATAAAGAAGGCCTTCCCGCAGCGGCAAAGACCATATCACATCTATCACTTTTTTGTTTGCACTGTTGCTTCCCCAAAGGATGTGGACTCAGAGAGGGATGATAGGGGTATATTAAGGAAAGAGCCGACATGCACCTTCCATTCGAAATTTGGTTAAGATGGACCGGCTTACCTGTTGAGTCATTGTTAAAACTCCACCCCCCCTCAAACAATATGTTCAATGTATGGACAAGGCTTACATGTTTAATGAAAATTTCACCTCCTTTCACCCACCTGACAATACGCGCGATGTATGGACCAGGTTTGCATGTAGAATCACCTTGAGAATTCCCACGCCCCCTCTGGCTCATCCGACAATGCGTCCGATGTATGGACCAGGCTTACATCTTGAGTTAGTACCCTCGTCCCTAACAATACGGTAAATGTATGGACCAGGCTTTTATGTAGAGTTATTGTTAAGATTCCAACCCCTTCTGCCCCAACCGGCCCCAACCAACAGTACGTTCGATATGTGGAGCAACCTACATGTTTAGGCATTATTAAAATGCGATCTGGTTTCTCCCATGAAAAAATGTTCGATGTATGGACCAGGCTTACGTGTGGAGTGATTGTCAAAGACCGCCGGCACTTCCACACCCAACAAAACGTTCAATATGTACCTCGTTTCCCGTGTAAAAAGAGGTCAGACAACGCGTTGCAGAAACGTGAACTTCGCAAGCGCATTCGTGGTCTACGGAAAGAAACAGCGGAGCAGCAACAAACACACTCGTCATCCTACAGGGAAGCGAGCGCAGAGCAAGGTCAGGCGAAAAGGAAGAAAAGGTCAAACAATTCCTCCCACCAAACCCGCTCTGACTCGAACGCCTCCGGTTCCGAAACTGTTGAGAGTGATTCGTCGTCCAGTTCGTCGCTGTCACTGGTCCCTCCGGCGGCCCGCCGTCGAGAACCAGGCCCGTGAAGGCTTGAACCAAGTGCCTAAGTGCCTTGCTAGCAATTTCATTGTTTGGTTGCCGTCGTAATGGCGAATCCCGAGCAAGTACTCGTATTGCAACAATTAAGGGATCAAATGCAAATGTTAACAACAGAGTTAGCAGCACTGCCGCCAAAGGTGCGCTAGACCAACAAACCCAAACAACAACAACAACAACAACAACAGCAGCATTGGCATGCGCACAAACAGCCATCGCTCAATTAGGAACAACCGATCCCCAAAAGAAAACTTTGAATCCCAAACTGGTAAACCCCCGGACCCGTTCCAAGGTACAGATGCCGCTTCTGGGAACGCTACAAGTTTGGCTTTGTGACGTGGATCAGCGCAGTGGATTCAACATATCCAGACCTGCTGAAGAAGGCTGAACTGGAAAAAAATGAGTTGGCCACAGTCGAGGTGGAACCAAACAGACATAAATTGTGATGCCAAAACAAAGGAAAAAGGCAAAGGCAAACAAAACGCTGGCAAACCAGGCGCGAAGGGAGATCATTGTGCAATTTGTGGCCCAGAAAAGGAGAAAATCGATGCGACAGAAGAGTGCTACTTCAATGCGCGTGCGAACCCGGTAAAGGGAATAAGAGAGGATCCAACAAAGCGAGCGTCAATGCACTAGAAACAACGATTGAAGAAAACGTGTCCGCGTTGCAGCAACAAGACAGTGCATTGAGCCAACAACTCGCAAACAACCAGTCCCAAGCATCCAATCCAGCAAGCGCAGCAACCTCAAGCAAGAAAATTAATCAAGGAACAGTAGCCCCAGGAAACCCCAACATTTGTTTCGTTTTGAAAAATCTCCGGCGAAAACCGTTGAGTTTGATGCATCCCATCCCCCTTCGCATAGCAACCGTATAGCCGCAATTGATGATGATGATGATGATGACGACGGTGATGACGGTGATGACGGTGATGAAAGTGATGAAGGTGAAGAAAGTGATGAAAGTAATGATGACCGAAGGAAATTTAGAAGTCAAACTTCCGACAGTATGGACAGATGAAAAGCAGAGCAGGGCAGAGGCAGAGAGAAGAGAAAAATTAGAAGAGAGAAAATCAGAAGAGAAAAAATCAGAAGAAAAAAAATGCAGATGCGCAAAAAGGTAGGAAAGTTGCGAAACACTGTGTTTTTCCAATGATTTGTGGCTCCGGAGGGTCGAAACGTAGGCTTGTTAACGCGGCGGGTGCGGAGCCAGCTGGCCAGATGAGAGATGACAAATTGCACGCCGTTGTGGCGCGAAGCACATTTCCAAGTCAAAATGTAAAAAACACCATGGTCGGAGCACTTTTGGACATGGCGATGTCGAAAAAGTGCACGCCATTGTGGCGCGAAGGACATTTTCAAGTCAAAATGCACAAAGCACACCAGCTTCGGACCACTCTAGGACGTGGCGATGTCGGAAAAGTGCACGCCGTTGTGGCGCGAAACGCATTTGGAAATCAAAATGCGCAAACCACACCAGCTTTCGGATCACTTTTGGAAGTTGCGATGTCGAAAAAGTGTATGCCGTTGTGGCGCGAAGCACATTTTGAAGTCAAACTGTAATAAACACACCAGCTTCGGACGACTTTTGGAAGTTGAGATGTCGAAAAAGTGCACGCCGTTGTGGCGCGAAGCGCATTTCCAAGTCAAAGTGTACAAAACACACCAGCTCCGGACCACTTTTGGAAATTGAGATGTCGAAAAAGTGCACGCCGTCGTGGCGCGAAACACATTTGGAAGTCAACATGTTAAAAACACTGGGGGTTCGGACAACTTTTGGAAGTTCAGACCTCGAAAAAGTGCATGCCGTTGTGGCGCGAAGCACATTTTGAAGTCAAAATGTTAAAAACAGTGGGGGTTCGGACCACTTTTGGAGGCTCAGATGTCGTTTCGCGTGGCAGGCGCACGAGATTGTGGAGCTTGTCAAAAGTGAGCAAAACATGAGGGTTTTGCAGCATTTCGACAAAAGATGGCAGGCATGGGACATTTGAAGGTGATCTGCAAAGACGCATTTTCCGTGGCAGGCGCAGTACAAAAGATATGTTCATGAGAGAGTTTGGGAGGTCAGGGCGCTGATTTCCTGAGACGGGTTACATTTTGGAGTATCAGAAGTGTAGGTTTGCTAAGATGATTTTGCATGATAGGTGCAGCATTTCGTATGACCTGGCAGCCAGTTTTCGTGGCAGGCGCTGTACTTTAGAGAGGTGGAACAGAAAAATCACAAAACGATAGATAGGTAGATCGATAGATAGATAGAAAAATAGACAGATAGATAGGTACTTAGATGAAACACAGAGAGAGAGGCCAGCTGGGTAGATGAGATAGATAGATAGATAGACAGATTGCCATTTTGGCTGAAGAGATCTGATTCGAAAAGCGCAAACATACTTTGACTCGAACTTTGAACCATGGCTTACAACGACGATGCTTTGACCAACGGCCGCGGATTTTTGGCGGAGGAGTTTCCCACGGATTCAAGTTCGAGAGAAGATGTCCCTGTGCCAGAGAAGCTTCGCTTGGGCTACACTGCAGTCAGCGACCAGCGCGAAGGGGAGCCAGTACCGGAGGGCCACGTCCTGTACAACCGAAAAGTTTACACGATGTGCGGAGAAAAGGTCCAGATCGCAATCAATCATGCGTGCCGCAAGGACGCCGCAGAAGGGGCGAAGTTCCTCCTCGCCTATGCCCGACTCTCTATCACATTCGCATGTCTGGAGCACGAAGCTGACCTCTCCGACTCGCTTCAAATGGGCGATGTGCTCATGATGAAGGTACCCCTCGGAGAAAATTACGCGCAACAAATTGAAGAAAGAGAGATTACCTTGGCACGAGCTCCTGGCGATGCAAATATCTTGACTAAGGCAGAACGTGCTCTAGCGAATCTGGTCCTGTCAAGGTCCAAGATCGTCAATATGATGGTGGGTGTGATTAAGGTAAACATGTGCACCCTGCACAAGGAAGGCCATCATTACAAGGACGACATCTTGGATAGGAACAATAAGATCGCTGCTTCTATTGGCTTGGACTTGGCTATGAAGGACTTTGAGCTTGGGAAAAGCGACAAGGCAGCAATGCGTTACCTGTTCCGCACTGCGATTCACCATGTCCTCGGAGTCAAAAAGAAGAGCACCCTTGAAGCCACGGAAAAAAACAATCAGATGCAGATGTTCTGGGTTGGGACAAGAGAACGGAAAGAGCGGTCTTGCTGCTGCCATAGCACAAGAAAGCCGCTATGATGTCGCTCTGCGGGAGATCATTGCCTATCTCCCGGATCAACCGGTGCAGAAAATGAAGAGTTCCCTCGATGCTGCAGCTGAAGTCTTCCCTGAGGCGTTCCAGTATGGAGAAAACGCAAATTACCTAGCTGGAGTCAGGTACATTTGCATCACCCCCAGCTGGACAAGTGAGGAGTTGTCCATCCTGAAGGGCCTGGCTCAGGGAATTGGCGGCAGTCTGGCAGCGCAGAAGATCATCAAGGGCGAGGACGTTCGTAATCAGGTCGTTACTGGGTATCGGGACTTGTATAAGGAGGTAAAGGATCTCCTTTGCAATCAGATGAGTAGGGAGGCAGTTATGGCACAGATCAGGGCGAAAGCAAAACAGACTGCAAACTGTTTTGCTGGCTTTTGCGGTAGCAGGCTGTCTGGGAATCGCCTTAGCTTTGCCAGATACGATGCGACTGCATCTCAGGAAACCAGGAGAGTCGAGACTGAGTCCCAGAGAAGAGCCCGAGGCGAGGGAGAAAACTGAGCTGATAAAGGAAGCAAGAGCAGGCAGAGGGGTGGCTATTACTACAATCAGCGGGGGGAGCTGGACCTCATGCGGAAAAAGGCGCGGAGGAAAAAAAAAAATATAGATAGACATGGATGGATGGATGGATAGATAGATGGATGGATGGATGGATAGATATACCGTTGTAGGTGGACTTTGCTTCTGGTGGAGCCTGCAACCACCCAAAAAACAGTTGCGCCATAGGCACATCTGGAAACTGGCCAGTATAAAAGCAGTTCGAGTTTCACCGGGGCTTCAAAAAAAAAGGAAAAAAAACCCGTAACAAAAGGTGGAAAAACAAAAAAAACGTGGGCACGGGCAACCCACCACAAAATTGAAACCCGCCAGTGGATTTTTCGCTGACGCGTTGGACTCCCCCGTCTCTGGTTTTTTGGACTTTGTGCTCTGTGTGCGTGATGTCCCGTGCCTCCCAAGAAGCCATCGACCTCACAACCCCGGCAGACAGCATACAAACCACTTCCCCCACCACTGCACCCCAGCCAGCCCCGTCCACACCACCACACCTTCGCCATGCAAGCTGCCAGCCACCAACAGCCACAGCCGACGAAGTCGCCTGTCCGATCTGTTTGACCGCCATCGCCCCGAGTGGCACCGGTGTGTTGTCTCCATTCTTGTGGCCCTACTGCAGTCATGCCTTCCATACTGGCTGTGCCGCGCACATGGTTGTTGAACACCCTGACCCTCCATGTCCCGCATGCCGCCAACCTTGGCAACCCAGTTCAGATCTCCTGTTTCAAGCGCAATGCCAACATCAAGGCGTCACGTTGCCAGCACGGTTGGCTTGCTTCGACACCAGACCAGCCCCACCAGCCCAGCCATCAGCCCCCACAAACGTGTTGCCGTTTTGCTGCCATCGGGTCATCCTAGCAAATCCGAATCACCCTGACCGGGACGATGCCTGGAGTGAGCTCCCGGACCGACAGATGGAATGGGCGCCAAACCGCAACCAAGCCAACGACACATGGGAAGCAGAATGGATCTGCTTGCGATGCAACAGGCCCATCACTTTTGACCATCCTTTGTTGCAGCAACTGCCAGAAAGACCGGCCTGCGAACAACACGGCCCTCGATGCCTCGCTGTCGACCTGGCCCGGGAGGAACGAGGATGGGTTTGCCAGACCCGTTCGGGCGACCTGCACCAGTGCCAGCCCCAGCAAGTCCCAAACCAATGCCACGGACCCCCGCCAGCAACCCCGCCCCACACATGGCCAACCACGCCTGCAGCACCCAGACTTCAGCAGCCACAAAACACCTGGCACCACCGAGGGCCATCAAACAGCCCCACGGGCACAACCCACAGCTGGTTCTATGTTCCATTGCTCTTGGCAGCCACAGGCCGGCACGCGCCACACACCTTGCAACAATGGGCAAATCACCCTTCAGCAGGTCACATTTGGGAGAGTCCCATTGCAACGAGCCCATCCCATCCCATGGCAGCAACTTCACCACATCTTAGTCACATTGCAAGCATAAACCGCCAACCTCACACCGGCAGAGTCAGCATTGCCAGCACGCCTGCACGCAGCCGGCGCCCAACAGCCGGCAGGGGCACAAGTGCATCTTCCATGGGCGCTGGAACAATTTATGCAAGAAGACGGTTACGTCCCCGCCACGGCCCAGGAAACATTGCTTCAAGCTTACTTGGGGGAACACCTCGCATCTACCGCAGCGTCACTCGCCCAGCAGTGGGGCCAACACACCCCAGCCGACCCCGCAACACCACAGCCAAGCCCGGGCACAAGGCTGACAACACCATCCAGGCCAACAACAACACCCAGGCCCACAACACCATCCAGACCAACAACAACATCCAGGCCAACAACAACACCCAGGCCAACCGCAGCCGGCCTTCTTGCAAACCGGGCGCCTTCACCGCCCCACCCGGATTCCGACAGCAGCAGCGACAGCAACAGCTTTTCCAGCAGTTCCAGTGCAAGTTCAGCCTCTTCAATTTCCGTGTGCCCTAGCCCCCGAACCAGAGACCAAGAACCCACACCCACACAACCAGCCCCACGTCCAGACGACCAGGGCAGAACCCAACAGCCACTCCAAGGGCGACGCCTTCAGGAAGCATTTGCTAGTCTCGACCTTCTCCATGCGAGCGACTTTTTGGAACAGCCTTGCCCCACTTTCCGTGCACCACCACCATTCCTTCGGGGACTATTGCGGCAAGCTTTGCATTTCACGCTGGATCTCATCAACTCAGCCCCCATCACCAACAGTCTCGACCATGAAAGGGCTTGGAAACTTTGGTTGTTCCTCCCCCGGATGCTGCTCCACCGCCCGGCCAACACGGCCCGAGTTCCAAAACCGCAGTTGCTCGAACGTTTCACCAAATATTTCGACAGCGCTTGGCAAGACCTTCTCGCAGCCAGCACAGCACCAAGCCAACGCGCACAGCCACCACCACCAGCCTCCAGCCAGCCAACCCCAGACCAAAGAGCCAGCCGAGCCACGCAACTCACCCGCCTCGGCGAACTTTCCCGGGCTCGACAAGCACTCCTAGCAGCGCCACTTGCACCAGGCAATGATGACACTTTTCGGGAACTCACCAACCCCATGGCCAGACCACAACACCCACGCCATCCACTGGGCAGTGACATCCTCAGCTTCACTCCAGACACACCACTGCAACTACCACTGCAACTCATCCTGCACAACCTTGCCAGAGCCAGAAAAGGCACAGCACCAGGCCCCAACGGTCTCACCGCAGAAATCGCCAAAGTCCTCTTAGATGACCCAGCTGCCGCAGAAGCCTTTCACCGGGCATGCCACCGATTAGCCAATGCCACCATACCAAATTCCATAGCAGCCGCCATCGGCATGGGCCGGCTGATAGCCCTTCAAAAGCCTTCTGGAGGCGTGCGAGGCTTGGTAGTCGGCGACTTCCTGCGGAGATTGGTGGCCCGCAGCCTGGCACAACACTATGCCCAAGACTTCGATGCCAAGTGCCACCCTTACCAGTACGCGTTGTCCACGCGAGCGGGCACAGAAGCATTCATCCACACCTTGCAGCTAACCACCGAGTTAGATCCCGACCAAACCATTCTTTCGGTAGACGGGATCGGGGCATATGACCATGTCAGCCGTGCTTCCATGCTGCAAGGGCTCCTCAACACACCCAACGCGCAAGCAGCGCTACCTTTCGTCCGCCAGTTCTACAGCCAACCTTCCACATATTCGTGGACGGACGACACCGGCCAAGTGCGTCGCATCACACAAGCTGATGGGGGCGAACAAGCGGATCCCCTGATGCCGGCCCTTTTCTCGTTGGGGGTTGGACTTTGCCCTCCGCGCCTTCCAAAGCGACTTGCTTCCAGGAGAAAGAGCAGCAGCATTCCTCGATGACATTTATGTTACGGCCCCGCCACACCGTATCAGACCACTTTTCGACCGCTTGGCCCACCACTTGCAACACCAGACCGGCATACACTTGCACCACGGCAAAACACAAGTGTGGAACGCCTCTGGGACAGTCCCGCCAGGCATCACAGCCTTGTCGCAGTCCGAGGCGGTTTGGGTAGGGGGCCATGACCAGCCCAGAGCCCAACGAGGCCTCCGCGTCCTCGGATTGCCCGTTGGCACGGACGAGTACATCCAAGCAGAACTAACCAGGCTACACGCCAAGCAGCAGCCCCTACTTGAGGCCATCCCAACCATCCCCGATCTCCAAACCAGTTGGCTCTTGCTTCTCTACTGTGCATCCCCTCGTGCACACAAATGCGGGCTGCGTCCAGACCTCACACGTGACTTTGCCGCTGCCCACGACCAAAGCATCCAGCAGTGCCTGGCTCAGCTCCTGCAACTCCCAGCCTTGCCAGAATCCAGCGCACATAGGGCCCGGCTCGCCCTCAGCCTTGGTGGCCTTGGCCTCCGTAGTGCTTTCCACCACACAGCAGCCGCCTTTTGGGCATCTTGGCAAGACGCAGCAAACACATTGCACAGCAAAACGCCAGACCTCTTCCAAGAGGTGGAGCGCCACTTGCAAGCACCAGCCCCAACCCTGCCAACAATCCAGTGTATCTCCCATGTTCAAACCTTCCTCAACAACATCGGCTTCGCCACCCCCCCTGGCCAGAGAGAACGCCACCCCCAGCATCAGTCCAACTGCCAGAAGCACCACGAGACTTGCTTAGAGGGTGGCAGCAAGCCGCTTCCGCAGCAATTGGCCAAGCCTACAGCACTGCGGTTCGATCGGCTTTGGACCCAGCGTCGCAAGCCCTACTGGATTCACAAAGCGGCCCCTTTGCAGCCACAGCGTTCACGTTGCTACCAACATCCCCTGACCTTGTGTTTGAATCTGCCCACTTCCGGGTTTTGTTGTTCCGGCGACTCCGGCTCCCCTTGCCACACATGCCAGCCAGATGCAGATGCCACCGCTCGCTGGATCCATTGGGGGACCACCGAACAGCATGCCCTCGCTCCGGAGCTCTGCGGTCAAGGGGGGTAGCTATGGAACGGGCAATGGCCCGCATCTGTCGTGAAGCCGGCGCATCTGTCTGCACCAACGTCCTGCTACGAGACTTGAACACCCACAGCTCACGCACAGATGAGCGGCGAATTGAGGTCATCGCCAACGGGCTCCCCTTGTGGAACGGGTCTCAATTAGCCATCGATACCACTTTGGTCTCGCCACTCACATCCCAAGCGGAGCCCCGGCGTCACCAGCAAACCACAGCAGGAGCTGCGCTCCGCATCGCGAGAAGGGCCAAAGAGAGGACATACCCAGAACTGGTGGGAGGAGGGCGTGCCAGGCTAGTTGTGGTGGCCATAGAACTAGGGGGCAGGTGGAGCACTGAAGCAGCAACACTGCTGCGATTGCTGTCTCGCCACAAAATTCAATCCATCCCCAATCCTCCTGCGGCCTGCTGCCCGCCACGCTTGGATTTCGCGGTGGGCGGCACACTTGTCTGCGGCAGCCATGCGATCTTTCGCATTCAGTCTCCTCCACCTCCCCGCTTCCACCACCACCAACATTGACGGCCCTGAACCACCTTTGGGTGACCTGCTCACACAACACCCCCACGGCAACCCCACCACCAGCCTTCTCACCCCCCACCCCCGTACATAAGTGGATTTTGCATATCTGGAGACTGGCCAGTATAAAAACAGTCTGCTGCCCATGCACATCTGGAGACTGGCCAGTATAAACACAGTCGGGCACTGGATTTTCTGCGGTCAAAAAGGCGCATGGAAAAAAAAAAGGTAGATAGATGGATAGATGGATGGATAGAGAGAGAGAGAGATGGATGGATAGATAAATAGATAGATAGATAGATAGATAGATAGGTAGGTAGGTAGGTAGGTAGGTAGGTAGCTAGGTGTAGCCATTTTGGCTCAAGTGGTTCACGACGAATCTAGCCATCATCGCATGCTCTCCCTCTTACTTTCTTTCTTTACTGGTGTTTGTTTGACATTTTTGTTTCTGTATTTTGGTGGTTTTATTGGTGTTGTTGTGGTGCCGGGGGAGGTGAAGGTGGACCGGGTTCCTAGGGAAATCGGGGTGCAGGCTGTGGAAGGTGAGATTGAAGTCTCACCAGCTAGCAGGGTCACCGCTGCTACAGCTGCTTTGAGGGCAGCTCAACGTGACCTGCGAAAACTTGAGGACCGAAGGAAGAGACAAGAACAACAGCTGGCCCTTAGACAAAAGCGAAAGTGACAATGCCTCTCTTTGATCAGGCTGCATTCTGAACGTGTGAGGGAGGTTGTCACGTCAACCAACTTCGCGGATCGCCGCGGTGTGTTTGGCCAGAAGCTTGGCCGCAAATTGCACGAGGCCATGACGGCTGCCAATGGCGCAGGAGCTGCTCTGACTGCCGAGGAGGCAAATGGAACCATATTGGTTCTCAAACAATACAAAATTGCAGAGATGGCAGCTCCTGGCGTAGTTGTGCCTTTGGGTGCAAAAGCTGCGCTGCTCAGCACGCTCCTCAAGAGCCTCCCGGACGTTCCGCGTAACTTCGCGGAATTGGAGCAGGTCTTGGATGCGATCCGCAACGTGACTGTTTAGGGTCACATTTTGAGTCGAAGGCATTCCACCCCTCCTTCAGCGAGCTTCTCGCCCAGACCCCCCCAAAACACCCACCAGCCAGCCGACTTCCTCTCCCAGCCACCTGACTGGATTTTGCCCCCTGGGGACAGACCAGGTTAAAATGGCACATCTGGGGACAGGCCAGAAGAAAAACTGTCTTCACTGACCGAACTTCTGCAGCAAAAAACTGCGGGAGAAAAAACAAAAAAAAGGTAGGTAGGTAGGTAGGTAGGTAGGTAGGCAGGCAGGCAGGCAGGCAGGCAGGCAGGTAGGTAGGTAGGTAGGTAGAGGTAGGTAGGTAGGTAGGTAGGTAGGCAGGTAGGCAGGTAGGTAGGTAGGTAGAGGTAGGTAGGTAGATGTAGGTAGAGGTAGGTAGATGTAGGTAGATGTAGGTAGATGTAGGTAGATGTAGGTAGATGTAGGTAGATGTAGGTAGATGTAGGTAGATGTAGGTAGATGTAGGTAGATGTAGGTGATGTAGGTAGATGTAGGTAGATGTAGGTAGATGTAGGTAGATGTAGGTAGATGTAGGTAGATGTAGGTAGATGTAGGTAGATGTAGGTAGATGTAGGTAGATGTAGGTAGGTAGGTGGGTAGGTAGGTAGACACTCAGAGAAAGAGAGAGAAATAGTGAGAGAGATCAATCGCCTTTCGCTCCATCAGTGGCTTCGCTCTGCCATCCCTGATTCACAACAACCAACCTCTCCTATAGGTTTTCTATTTTTGAAATTTTCGCCACCGCCTTGTGCGGTACTACTGGTGGTGATGATGATGATGATGATGACGATGACGATGATGGTGATGATGATGATGGTGATGATGATTGTGATGATGTTGATGTTGATGGTGATGCTGATGCTGATGTCGACGTTGATGTTGATGATGATAATGATGAAAATGATGATAATGATGATGTTGTCGATGTCTTCGATGACACTGGCGGATGTTTGTGTAAAGTGTGTTGTGATGATGGTGATGGGAAAATGTGATTATGACAAAGTATGCTGGGAACATTTTTTGGGAAAAAAGCATGCAAGTCTTTTCGGGAATCGGTGATGTCAGTCCTGATGGTGTCAGTCGTGATGGTGTGTGTCCATTGTGTTTGCCTTCCTGCTGATGCCTTGGCGGCCTCTCAATGTTGGCATCTTGGTGGCTCTTGGGCGGTGCGTCCGTAAATCTTGACGGTGTTCGGTGATGTTTTGGGTCTTGCTCATGTTTTCGTGGTGTTTCTGTGGTGTCGTTTCCGTGGTATCGAAGAGGCATGAAGAAACATTTTTTTTCGGCAAAAATGGCGCACATATCAATACCAACTTGGCGTCCACAGAGATGCGGAACGTGGCTATTGGGGTTGTATGCCGGCTTAATTTTGCAAACATGATATTTTTGTTTTGGGTAAGCAGCCGGGCGCTAGCTTCGCCATGTCAAAATTGGTTCAGCGGATGCGTCACGCAGCCTGGAGTGCGTCACAAAGTACGCGTGCAGTTAGTTATGTTTAGTCTGTAGCTATCTTGGCGCGAGAGCTGTGTGCCTAGTGTCGGTGACACCCCATCAGTACCACCAATGATGTCAGTTTGTCCAGATTTTCCGGGGCACCCGTGTGTCCCAAAATACAGATCCTACTGCTGCTTGGTATGTCAAGGGTGAAATGTGAGGCTGTGCGAGATTATGTGCGGGAAAGCATCACAGCCCTGGAAGCAACAGAGCAGCAACTTCAACTATGGGTTGACAATGGCAGGCTTGAACCATCTTGGACGAAGTTGCGCGGTTTCTTGTTTGCGACGGGTTTGTCTATATTTGTGTCGGTGCAATTGCATCCACCTAGCCATTATATTAATTTACTAAATGGGAAAGGCCGTGCAAGCAAACCAATGAAACAATTGCACTAGATGCATGACATGAACCTGAAGGCCTTCGGGAGTTGTGCCATCATGGGGACAATGCGGTCCTCCAGTGGAACAAGCTGAGGAGGATCGGTGCCACCACAATTCGCAGCAAACCTGACCAAACACCACCAAACGACTGCCAAACGACATCATCGTTGCGCATGTTGGAGTTAATTGCATCCCGGGCAGACTTGAGCGGTGCCGCACCGATCACATGCAGCATTGTCCAGGCAATTGGTTCTTCGTGGGATTTGGATTCTCGTCTCTTGGCCATTTTTTTTATATACTATAGATTATATTTTTCCCCAACAGCAGAAGCTTTGGGGTCTTCAGCCATAGTAAAGGTTTCGGAGCAGACCGGAGCAGCTCCAAAACCTATTCCCCCAAGGTTCCCAAGGTTCCCAAGGTTCACAAGGTTCCCAAGGTTCCCAAGGTTCCCAAGGTTCCCAAGGTTCCCAGGGTTCCCAGGGTTCCCAAGGTTCCCAAGGTTCCCAAGGTTCCCAAGGTTCCCAACATTCCCAGAGTTCCCAAGGTTCCCAAGGTTCCCAGAGTTCCCAAGGTTCCCAAGGTTCCAAAGGTTCCCAAGGTTCCCAAGGTTTCCAAGGTTCCCAAGGTTCCCAAGGTTCCCAAGGTTCCCAAGGTTCCCAAGGTTCCCAAAGTTTCCAAGTTCCCAGGGTTCCCAAGGTTCCCAAGGTTCCCAACATTCCCAAGGTTTCCAGGGTTCCCAAGGTTCCCAACATTCCCAAGGTTCCCAAGGTTCCCAAGGTTCCAAGGTTCCCAAGGTTCCCAAGGTTCCCAAGGTTCCCAAGGTTCCCAAGGTTCCCAAAGTTCCCAAAGTTCCCAGTTCCCAGGAAGAGGTTCCCAAGCAACGTTCCCAAGCAAGGTTCCCAAGAGGTTCCAAGCAAGGGTTTCAGGAGGAGGTTCCCAAGCAAGGTTCCCAAGAGGTTCCAAGAAAGGCTCAGAGGTTCCCAAGCAAGGGTTCCCAGCAAGAGCTTCCCAAGCAAGGGTTCCCAGGAAGAGGTTCCCAAGCAAGGTTCTCAGGAAGAGGTTCCCAAGCAAGGTTCCCAGGAAGAGGTTCCCAGGAACAAGTTCCCAAGCAAGGTTCCCACGAACAAGTTCCCAAGCAAGGTTCCCAGGAACAGGTTTTGCAAGCACGGATTTCAGGAACCTTTTTCAAGGTTCCCAAAAACCGTTTCCCAAGCAAGTTTTCCAGGAACATGTTTTTCCAAGCAAAACAAGGTTCCCAGAACAGGGTTTCAAGCAAGTGTTTCCAGGAAGAGGTTTCCAGGAAGAGGTTCCCAAGCAAGGTTCCCAGCAAGTTTCCCAAGCAAGATTTCCAGGAACATGTTTTTCCAAGCAAAACAAAGTTCCCAGGACAGGTTTTCAAGCAAGTATTTCCAGAAGAGGTTTCAAGGAAGAGGTGTCAAAGCAAGGTTCCCAGCAAGCTGGTTCCCAAGCAAGGTTTTCAGGAAGAGGTTCCCAAGCAAGGTTCCCAGCCACAGGTTCCCAGGAACAGGTGCCCATACAAGGTTCCCAAGAACAGGTTCACAAGTAAGGTTCCCAAGCACGTTCCCAAGCAAGGTTCCCAGCAACAAGTTCCCAGGAACAGGTTCCCAAACAAGTTTCCCAAGAACAGGTTCGCAAGTAAGGTTGCCGGAAAAAGTTCCCAGGCAATGTTTCCAGGAAAAGGTTCCCAAGCAAGGTTCCCAGGAACAGCTTCTCAAGCAAGGTTGCTAGGAAGAGGTTCTGAAGCAAGGTTCCCAAGAAGAGGTTCGCAAGCAAGGGTTCCCAGTTGTTCCTGGAAATTTTGCTTGGGAACCAGCTCTTCCTGGGGACGCTTACTTGAGAACCTTTTCCTGCGAGCCTTGTTCGTGCTTGGAACCTTGCTTGGAAACGGTTCCTGACCTTGCTTGGGAACCGTTACCTGGTAACCGTACTTGCAATCGGTTCCTAAGAAATTAACCTTGCTTGGGGTCCTCAGCCACCCCAGGAACCAGGAACGATTCCCAAGCCAGGTTCCCAAGAACAGGTTCCCAGGCAAGGTTCCCAAGCAAGGGTTCCAGAAATTGCAAGCCAAGAAGGTTCCCAGGCCAGGAACAGGTTCCCAAGCAAGGTTCCCAGGAACAGGTTTCCAAGAAAAGGTTGCAAACAAGGTTTCCAAGAATAGGTTCGCAAGCAAGGGGTTTCCAGGCAATGTTCCTGGGAACAGGTTTCCAAGCAAGGTTCGCAAGACCAGGTTCCCAAGCAAGGTTCGCAAGAACAGGTTCCCAAGCAAGGTTCGCAAGAACAGGTTCACAAGCAAGGGTTCCAAGAACAGTGCCTCAAGTTCCCAAGCGAGGGTTCCAAGAACAGGTTTCCTTGCAGGGTAGCGGCAAGGTCCTTGGGAACAGGTTCCCAAGCAAGGTTTCCACGAACAGGTCCCGAAGCAAGGTTCCCCAAGGACAGGTTTGCAAGCAAGCTTCGCAAGAACAGGTTCGCAAGCAAGGGTTCGAAGAACAGGTTCCCAAGAACAGGTTCGGGTTCCAAGAACAAATTCTCTAGGAAGGTTCCAAGCAATAGGTTGCCAGCACGGTTCCCACGAACATGTTCCCAAGCATGGTTTCAGGTTGTTCATGTTCCCAGGAACAGCTTTTCAAGAACAACTTGCAAAGCGAAATTTCGAAGACCATCTGCAAGCAAGGTTGGAAGCAAGAATAGAATCCCAAGCCAGGTTCCGAAGGACAGGTTCCTAAACAAGGTTCCTAAGCAAAGTTACGAAAAACAGGTTCCCGAGCAAGGTCCCAATGAACAGGTTTGAAGCAAGCAGGCAAAGTTTCCAAGAACAGGTTTCCAAGAGAAAGTTCCCAAGAACAGGTTACCAGGCAATGCTCCCAAGAGCAGGTTCCTAAGAATAGGCTCCCAAGAACAGTTTCCCAAGCAAGGTTCCGATAAACAAGTGTCAAGCACGTGTCCAGGAACAGTTGCCCAGGCAAGGTTCTTAGAACATTGAACAACAGAACGCTGCAAAGTTTGAAGATTTGTTCTAATAACGGAACGGAGAGATTGAAGAACTAGTTTTGCTTCAAAAAATGATACGGCACTCGCACATGGATAAAACACTAGACGACGTGGCATGAAAGAAGGCAGTAGGGAGGAGACGAGAAGATAATACACGAGAAAAATGATGATGGTGATGATGATGACGACAATGATGATGGCGATGACGATGACGAGGATGAATGGCGATGGAGATGATGATGAATGATAGCTGACGCGAGTCAAATATCATATATCCACGGTTTCGCGCCTTTTTTGCCCCACAGAGGGTTTGCTCCAGGGCTGGCACCTGAGTGACAGTCAGAATCCAAAGACATGTTGTTTTTACATAGCGAAAAGTTTACCACATGAAGCCTTTACACAGAGCAGCTTTACACACAGACGCTTTTTCACAAAGAAGTTTTTACACACAGGAACTTTAACGCGCAGATGCCCAAGCTTTTACACACAGGAGCTTTTGCACACACACGCCTTACAAAAAGAAGCTTTTAGACACAGAAACTTTTACAGCCTTTTCACAAGAAAGCTTTTACACAGAAGCTTTTGCACAGATATGCCTTTGCAAACAGAAGCTTTTACACACAGAAGCTTTTACTCAGAGAAGCCTTTAAACAGAGCAGCTTTTACAGACACAGAAGCTTTTACACAGAGACGATTTTGCACAGAGAAGCTTTTTCACAGACAAGTGTTTGCGGGAAGGAGCTTTGAGCACAAACGGTTTTTAGATACAGCAGCTTTCACACAGAGGAGCTTTTGCGCGGACCAGCTTTTACACTCAGGTTTGTTTTCACAGAGCAGCGTTTACGCGGAGCAGCTTTTACACACCGAAGTTTTGACGCAGAGAGGCCTTTACACAGAGAAGCTTGTACACACAGAACCTTTTACACACAGACGCCTTCGCACACACACACACAGATGCCGGTACACAGAGAGAAGCTTTTACACAGAGAAGCGTGTAAACAGAGCATCTTTAATACACAGAAGCATACACACACACAAGCTTTACACACACGCCTTTGCACACAGAGCTTTTACACACAGACGCTTTTACGCATAGAAGCTTGTTCACAGAGCAGGGTTTACACAGAGCACAGAGAGAGGCCTTTGCACAGAGCAGCTTTTACAATCTGATACGCGCAGAAACTTTAAACACGCCCTTGTAAAATCGCAATTTTACACAAGTTTTATTTCGCGCGAAACGGTTGTGCCTGACGTTTCAAAATGGATAAAGTCGAAATTTTACACCAATTCTTGAACGTTGGCATCTGACGTTAAAAAATCGCAGTTTTCCCACAGTTATTGCCGTTTGACTTTCATGCCACGCTTGCATCTGAACTTTCAAAATCACAATTTTACAACAGTTTTTGACGGTTGACCCTCATTTCGTGCGAAGGGGCTGTGCCGGGCCTCACAAAATTTGCATTTTGCCATATGTTTGGGTGTCCGACCTGCGCGATCTCTGAAGAGGGTTGCCCGTGCCCAAAAGAAATTCACATTCCACCACATGTTTAGGCGTTCGAAACGCACGATCTCTGCAGACGGCTGCTGCGGGCAAAGAAGTTTCGCATTTCACCACACCACATGTTTGCCCATCCGACACGCGCCATCTCCGCAGAGGGTTGCCCAAGGACAAACAAGACCCGCATTTCGCAACACGTTTGGGTGTCCGACACGCCGCAGAGGGTAAAGATTCGTAAGCCACCGCCTGGCTGTCCCTGCCACCAGAGAGAAATAGAAGAACTGGATGATTTTGCAGGAGTTCAGATACAATTTGATCACCTGGAAGTTAGCTGAACCCCTGTGTAGCAACTCCTGTGCAACAATTTCTGCGCAAAATGACCATGCCGGCAGGAGTCTTGTAGGAGTTCAAGTAGAAATGGATCACCTGCAAGTCAACTCCTGTGTAAATGACATTGTTCAAGTTTTGTAGGAGTTCCCTAGAAGTTGATCACCTGTAGCTGATGTAGGTGATGTTGTCTATGTTGTAGATGATGAGGATGATGTTGTAAGTGATGTAAGGTTAGATAGATTTGAAGATGTAGGTGATGTATAGGATGCAGTGATACAGATGATGATGTAGGTTATGTATGCGTTGTAGGTGATGTATATCATGTAATGTAGATGAGGTTGATGGAAAAAGATTGTGTAGGTGATGTAGATGGTGTAGGTGAGATAGATGATGGTGATGATGATGATGGTGGTGGTGATGGTGATGATAATCATGATGATGCAGGGAAGATCGTGCAGAAGATGTAGGTGATGTGGGTGATGTAGAGGATGTAGTGATGTAGATGATGATGTAGGTAATGTATGTATTGTAGATAAAGCATGTCATATAGATGGGGAATGTGTAGGTGGTGTAGATAATGTAGGTGAGACAGATGTAGGTGATGATGATGATGATGATGATGATGATGGTGATGGTGATAATGATGATGATGGTGTAGATGTAGATTTAGATCTAGAGAAGATGGTGTAGAAGACGGTATAGAAGATGTAGGTGATGTAAAGGACATAAGAGATGTGGATGATGTATGTTAGGTAGATGAAGTGAAGAGTGAGGCGGACAGCAGTTCTTTGGGAAAAAGCCTTCGCACGAGCTTCGGGAATTTTGGCCACAGTATTGCGAACGCTTTTGGAAAAACGGTTTTTCATAAAGTGTTTGTGCTGTGATTGCGCCTTGTACGCCCGACCTCTAGAGTAAGAAGGGCGGGGCAATAAACATACTTCACTCATTGCGTGTTTGGCAACTGTTTTTGTTTCTGGCTGTTGGGGATACTCTTTGGGCTTATTTTTTGGTCACCGATTAGCTGAGCACGATGGCAACCGGTTGGTGAGGGGTTCCGGAAGCAACTCTTCATTTTGATGCACGATTTTCACATAAGTATACGATTCTTTCCTGAACATTTGTTTCGTAATCTATCGGGTCAAACTTGTGAATTTGGTAGCTAAGGTTACAGCTCTTGGCGCAGCGATTGCTACTTAGGGTGGCTGAGTTGCTCGGCTTTTGGGCGTTGGTGGGATTAGGCCTTTTGGGGGCCTGCGTGTGTACACCAAGTAGACAACGAAAACAATGCATACGGATGTGCGCCTTGATATTTGTCGGGAAACATGATGCAAGGGCTTTAATATGTTGGCACGATTATTTTGTTTGAACTCATGGTAAGTATTGCAGGAAACTCATCACGTTACATGACAGGTGATTGATTGAACTCACACTTTAATACAGAGCGGGGGCCAAAAAAATGGGAAATGTCGATTCACATTTTTCCTTCTTCCTCCTTCCTCCTCCTTCCTCCTCCTTCCTCCTCCTTCCTCCTCTTTCCTCCTCCTTCCTCCTCCTTCCTCCTCCTTCCTCCTCCTTCCTCCGCCGGGCTTCAACTGCAAGCTCTAGAGCCGGACCCGAACAGCAGAGCCGGACCCGGACAGCAAACTCTGGATCAAAGTGATCCCCGCCGGACCCCAACTGCAAACTCTAGATCGCAGTAGGCCCCGCCGGACCCGAACAGCACCCTCTGGATCAGTGATCCCTGCTGGACCTCCACCGCAAGCTCCGGATCAGAGTGTTCCTTGCCGCACCTTCACCGCAAGCTCCGGATCAGAGTGTTGCCCGCCAGACCTCCATCGCAAACCCCGGATCAAAGTGTTCCCTGCCGGAGACCGCAGCATGCTAGGAACTGCGCTTCCAATGCGTTGTTCTATATATCGTCTAGTTATTAAATACCTCGAAATTCTTGACAACACAATAATATTCTTTTTGCTACGCGTGCTACGTCATGCCGCCATGCTAGTTTTCAGCGTGTTGCTATTTAGCATTCGCTAAATTGTATCAAGACGACAGTCTAGTGGCCAACGTAAACGTAAATAAAAACATGTTCGTTATCCGGTCCGGTTTCCAGACCACAAAGGCCTACAAGGATCTTCAAGGAGCTTGCGGGACTAAGGAGTCTGACCCACCCTCTCCCAAGTTTCTCCTATGTTCCTCCCGGAATCCTCCCAGGTTCCTCCTAGCAAGGGGATGGATCGGCAAAAAAAAACTTTACTTCGAGTGATCCCCGCTCTGACACTTTTTTGTCATAGTTTTTGACATATCATTTGGACATATATGTGGTATAATTTTCTGGCAGTCTATCTGGCATTTTCTTCTGGCGTTCTATCTGGCATCTATTCTGACATCCTATCTGGCGCTGCGCGAACTGCGCAGCTGCTGACTGAGTGCAAACAGTACCCTCCGAGAAGCGCCGCGCAGCGGGCACGGCAGACGGCTCAGGACCCAAAAAAAAAGCAATCTGTCTGCCTCGAAAGAAATATTTAAATAGCACAAATGATGCACCATCAACTATATATATATATCCTGATTCTATCATAGATTGCTTGAGCAGGTAGGTTGATCACCGATGACCCGATACATTTCCTCGAACAACGACTTGAGAACAGAATTTATCAGGTCTGAAAATAACAACATCCAATATTCATAAACAGACATGATAACGATCGGCAACTCAGGATTGAACAATCGCTTAGTTCAGAAAGATCAATGGATGCAATAGAACAGAAAACATCGGAAGAAAAAAGAAAAAGGTTACGCACCTACAGTAATCAGATATACTGTTTATGTAAATATCAACACACACACACATATATAGATAAATATATATATATATATTTATATATTTTTATGTGTGTGTATGCCTCTACGATCTAGCTATGCCTATCTATCTGTACAATTCTAGGCCCCTTAAATTGGACCCGCCCTGGTCTGATTCACATCGAAGGAGATCGTGACGGGCACTGCCCGCGAGCTCCTCAGGGTGCGGCAGCTGAAGCGGGCTCTCCGCACAGCCGCGCGCCGCTGCCGGCTCAACGTCCGCCGGCACAACCAGCCAGCGGCGTTTCCAAGGAGGATGGCACGGCTGGTTGCCGAACTTCGGAATCGGCTCTTCCGTCTGAGAGAGAACGAAGAGGAAGAGAACGAAGAGGAAGAGAACGAAGAGGAAGAAGCCTAGGCCGGGGATACAGCTGGGGCCCGGGAAGACCACCAGCATAGGAAAATAACTATTCGCTAAAGGCAACTTTCCATCTTCCATCTAACGACATTTCAAACCATTATACTTAATTATAAGCAATGGCGTGCAACTTCGAGATTGCGCATTCGAAATTCATACTTGGCAAGACCAATTCATAAAATGCACGGATCTATATAGAGATGATGAAGATATAGAAAGAGAGGGAGAGCGGATTAACATCTTCTAATGATACCGGCCGATGGACATTTCCGATCAATGAACTGAATGACCTTGTCGCCCTGCCAAAACGCCCCGCCGCAGGCCAACGAAGGACGAAGGGCAGCGGCAAGCACAGAAGTCGCCGTACAGGCCCCCCTCCCACCGGACGAGCACAAAGCCGTCCGGTGGGAGGGGGGTGAGAGGCGCAAACGGCAGAAGACGGCGGAAAAAAGACGATGTTCTGGCGAGTATGGGATTTACCCCACGAAGAGAAAATCGATGTTGTGTTTTGTGGCATCTATACTATACTTACATTTTATCTGGCATTGTCTTATTGCACCAATGTAGTGGATAGTCACCATTTAGTATAGGGCATGCCGGCATACCCCGCTTTCAGCTAAAACTAGATGTAGCATGTGCATATGTGCACCGTGCGCCTGGCTCAACAAAAAATAATGCCCCCTTGGAACCACAATGCTTAGCTGTGCGCTATCCGCTATCCCATTTTCAAGTAATTGTCCAATGATTTGACCTATCCCCAACTGACCACCCCCACAAGTGCCCCAGAGATCTGCAGAGGTGTTCATCTTTGCGACGTAATTTGCTCTTTACATGGTGCAGTTGTGGAAGATGCAAATAGCAGTTGCTTGGCACTAGACATTTTCTATCAAACCAATGTAGCCGATAGTTTCAATAAAAGATGGGTTGAATCTGTACCTATACATCTTGCTAGGGCAGCATTCCTTCGATGTTTTGCAGTGTGTCATGTTTTGTTTCCTTTTGGAATTTGATACGAGGAGAGCGGCCACATAGATTTGTCATTTTGAACACTTCGATTTCTCGGTAGATTTCACATGGCCCCGTGGCAAAGAACGTGTGTTACAAACCTGCCACCGTGATTGGTTTTGGTTGTGAAGGCTCACAGTTTCTAGAGAAGTTGCTTCTGCAACACCAGTGTTGTAGTGCTTCATTCTGCTCCATCAAATAATGTGATATGACGTAGTAGATCTGCGAATCAAAGACCTCTGAGCTTGGAAACCCAAGGCCACGTATGGCCTCAGAAATGGAAAAAAACGCAGCTGGAATTGGAGGGTCTTTTCTTTTATGTTCCTTGGTTTTCAGTGAGCATACACGGTTATCCGAGGTTGGCGCGGGGTTGAGTGCCTCATAAGGGGACAACGAATCAGTCTGCCGGTACCTTTGCCGTTTCAATCCATCAGTACGAATTATCATTGACAATCTTGTTCTGAATCCACTCTGATCCTCTTGAATTTTATTTTTCATGCAAGATGTCAATGAACATGATGTGGGTCACCCGCCGCCACCACCACCAGCACCAGCACCGCCACCAGCAGCGTAATCAACAGACTTGAGTCGAAATGTTCACTTGCCCCTGTGCCCCCAGTATTATTGTTTGCTAGGGTAGCTACAAATAGATGTAAATTAATTGTAACATCATGTTATGCCTATGCAGTCTATATCTTGTCAAGGGAATTCAAACCATGAAAAGAGACAGTTGTTCGTATATAATTTGAGATATTCTTTTCTAAAAGTATCCCATGCCGATACCCATAATAGCATCGCCCAACCAGTTGAAGCGCGATGTGTTTGCGAGGTCGATCTGCCTTGGCACGTGATGCTGGCGCAGCGTTGGCCCATCGCCCAGCTGTTGGCTTTGTTGGGTCGCGCGCTGCGGATGTTGGTTGGACATGCTGCGGTGAATGCTTGTGATGAGGTCGCCCTTGTCGGAGTTTTCCAGTGCACGTCTGGTATACGATGGTATACATGCTTATGCAAAGGTCCACGACAGCGTAGAACTGGCGTACTGGTTTGGAACTCGGATAGTTTCCTTGGAATGCCTACTTACATATTGTTTATTTATATGGCATTGTAACCCGGCTTTACTTTTCCCTAGCATGACCAAGCAAGTGCCAGGCCAATCACATCCTGGACGAAGCGCTATTGACCGCAGCTTCAGTGTGGTGGAAGTCGAACCATCCGACGCAAGGAGACACCCCGCTGCCACTCGGATCACTGGTGTCTCTGACATGGCCGGGAATGTCAGAAACCTCATGTTGGGTTTCGAGGCGAAAACTTGCCATGGTACATCTGGATAAAAAGTGACCTCCCTCCCTCTTTGGGATCTCTACGGCCATCAAATGTGAAGGGACAAAACGCTGGAAACTTCTCCCTGTCCACGATCTTTGTCCCAGGTTGCCATTACACATGGCCGAGGACGACTCAGGGTATAGTACTTGAAGCATCTTGAAACTCTGGTCAGAGGGCAGGTGTCACCAGTATTGATCACACTGACCAATGTTTTACTTATTTTTCCATGTTGCCTTGCTAAAATAACGCTATGAATATTCGTCAGGAACCACAATCACGGCCAATTGCAAGCTACTCCATGGCGGGATCCTCCACCATGAACTCCTTGTATGATCATCCCACTTAGCACCTGGCCAGTCTTTGGTTTGCACTGTGTTTGCACGCTGTTTCCAGACATGCGATAATTGACATAGGGGATAGTTGGTTCATGAAATTAGGAGGATCATCCACATAGAGCCCCACATGACTCCAGGAGTTCCTGTCTGTGCAAGCTGCTGGACCCTTGTGGGAGGCGGAGCGCTGTACATTTGCCGTGTTGGTGGCGCCTTGTTCTGATACGATCCAAGTGGGGTGCAGGGAGTGACCTGGAAATCGGCAACATGTTGGGAGCGATCTCTGCGTGGCAATGGGCTTTCAGTTTTAGGAGTTTGAAAGAATATCTATGTCCTGATATCCACCCAAAGAAGAGGACCAATCACAGAAGATAGCTACTCCTGCTTTGATTGGGTCTGAAATTGCGGAAACTTTGTGTCGGAACCATAGAAGGCCGAAAGGCCGCCACATGTTTGGCAATGTTTTGTGAAATGAGTTGGCTACGGTACGAAGGAGGCATAAGATTGCCATGAACTGCATCCTGTTTGAAAGTTTCCAAATGTTTTTACTGAATTATCCGCAATGTCATGAGCAACACATGAAACCACACTGACTTTCATGATCTTTCATGGAAAATGAACATAATGCAAGTCCTGTCCAAGGGGGCGAGTGGAGTGGACAGGTTGATTGGAAACCCAATTTCAATTGCATCAGTTTCTCTGCCAAGGCGCTTCTTTCAGTCGCTCTTTGGGCACTCAAGGCAAGCTGGCAAAAGAGCGCCCAACGTCCTATGTCATTCATGTTTTTCCATCTTCACAAAGTCTTGAACGGTTTTCAGACTTGGTATGCGCTATTGGCCGCTATTGACATCGCTTGTGGTCTGAGCCTGCCCTTCCCCCAACACGTGCGAGGCGGGGAAGGTTGAAGGTTTCCCTGATGGACCAGTGGGTGGACGGAGCGTGGAGGTTGGCCCAGTGGATGGATGTAGATGGTTTGTCTGAAAAATTGGGGATTTTTTTAAAATGGAATTTCAGTTTTTTTTCCTTAATTTTTGTTATATTTTAAATTCAAAACACCATCTTACTTTTGAACATGGCCAGGACATGGGTTTGGGTTCCATGTTCAGGCTGGGTGAGATGGATGCAGATGGTAACACCCTTGCCAGGTGCTGGTGTCCGGCAATGCGCAGCAGATGGCCAGACTTTGGGAGGAAAGATCTTCGCAGCCACCTGGTTTAAAGCCAGTAATTATTGCGTGTATAATGATTGCAAATGATGTATGCCAGTTCAATCCGGGGTCAAACATGCATTTTTATGGTGGTGTCCACCATTTTTTGGGTGGTACCCACCAACCATTCATGAACCGATAACGGCTCAAGAGTGATTAGCTGCCAACCAGAAACGGTACCCTCCAATCAATCATCATAGATGGGTACGGTATGGGTGGTAAATTTCCATCCCCTGGTTTAATCAGAAATCAACAATGTAACAAGTACGATTTGCTAGCCAACAGGCTATAAAAGTCATACATCCAGTTACAATTTTGAGTAACTGCTACTAGTGAATGATAAAATGATTGCAAGGTGCTATTGATCAATCAACCAACTGGTTCCTATTATATAGCTAATATTATAAATTAAATTGGCTAGCTAATAATAGAATCCCCCCGGTTGTCAGTAATAATGCCTTATGATTAATTTAGGTTTGGAAACTATGATCATTAAATATCATCGTCAATTGTTGTTATTAGTTATTTTGTTGCCACAGTTGTCAATAATGATGCAAAGGCATGCTGTTCGTCTTAGTTACTGTTAGTAACCAGAAAATCACTCTAGTGATTAATAACAATTGATAACGAATAGGAAACAATCACCCACTGTAACTCATAGTCACTAATAATCGCATATAATCGCTATTGCAACATATTATAAAAACTCCAATAGTTGCAATAGCTGATTACTTATGGTAATCACTTGATAGTTCATAGCCGCAGTCAACTGTCAATAGTTGATAGTTAACATTATCGCCTTGTTAACATTGAATATCATTGAAAATTGTTAGCAACAATCAGTAACCATTGACAGCAATTAATTCTTAGTAAATATTAACTATTAGCAATTATTAGCAATTACTATTCCTTTTCCAATTGCGATATGGTTATTTGCTACTAGCACCTACTAACCATTCACATCTATTAATGCAACGATTGTAACGCCATTCTGCTAGGTTCTTCTACGATTTGCTGACCAGTCGCTGGCGCGTGGTGGATCTCCTGGAGCAGCTGGCCTTTTTTTGGCACGGCTCGGTGCCGGCCAGGTGCAACTGGCCGCGTTGCGGTCCCGGGAAAACCGTGGAGTTCAGCACGAAAAATGCCGATGTGCTTAGAAACACAAGGAAAACAGGCAAGAAGGGGATTTTGCCGCTAAAAATGAAATATGCTGGAGATGAGGATGTTGGAAGTCAAAGATTTACCACGGACGATTATGAATTTCGTCATGTTTCACCAGGATTTCCACGACTTTTCTGCATCAGCCCCCATTTAGCAGGGACACATTATATAGTGTCACATTAGAACAAGAACTTTGAACACTCGAGCTTTTATCTTGCCAGCCACATCCATTTTTTTCTTGTCTGTTTGATCAAATTCAAAGTTACGCGTTTCCTTGTTGGACTGTGTCGGTACATGTTGGTCTTGTAAGTCGCCAGTATCGCTATAACTAGTATATAGTGATTTTCAACTTTTCACAGGTCATATCCCCATATACCGGTATCACCTGGGCAGGGCCTCCGTCCACAAATGTCACTTTTCACCCGGGGTTTGCTTTCAACCCTCCCACCCACTGGTGGGGTTGCCAAGGCTACAATCTGAGGTTGCCTGAATATAAGGTCCCCAAAGTTTAGCCTCATGTTCCCGTTCAGACATCTTGGGGGTATCCCCCATTTTTAGCCAGACCCAAGTATCTAACAGCATCTATATTGTTGATTATATCATATCTCATCAATATCCTACGTATTGTATCCCAATCAAACCCCCATCATATCACCATTTTACAACAGTTGATCACCATTCTATGGTTGTTTTCTCCATTCTTGTTGGCCAATTGTGGCTAAGTTCCCTTTTTATTTTGGTTAAATCTCCCATTTTGTTCGTTAAATCATCCACTTATGTTGACCATTGAGGTCATATCTTCACGCATATCTCGACCCTCAGGGCCCCTGCAACGCCTGCAACGCCTCCACGCTCTCCGCGTCTCACGAAGCATTCGGTGCTCTTCCTGGGGGGTGGCGACAGCACTTTCCAGTCACTTGGTGGCGTCAAAGATCAGGCGCGGTGTCTGAGCCTGAGCCCTCCATTTCAGCCATTTTTAATGGGGATAGCAGGGATTAACCATATTAACCCATGGGTTTAGAGGTGCCATGAGGTGCTCTATTTCCAGCCAACCCCATATTGGTGGTATATTGGTGGTATACTGGTAGTACATCCACTGGATCTATAATGACGGAATAATGGTTAATAGGGATTATCACTAGATCAATTGGATATATCCGCTGGATATATGACCGCAAGTATTCTGAACTTTCCAGCCCAATAGGGATGCTGATTAACCACTGGATGGAATGGGTTTCTTAAGCAAGATAGGAAAGTTATGCCGTGTTTTGATGACGATTATATAACAATTTTAGACAACAGTTTTGGGATAGATGTGCCCAAGCGTTTTTTTTTTGGTTAGTGTATAGTTCTTTGCGTCGAAAGCAATCTATTGAATGGGGTTTAGTTCTAGACATGATTCTTTATTTGGCTAGACTTGAAGCATTGAAACAAGCCAAACAATGGATTTGCAAAGATCTACATAATTACGTGGGGCCCCAAATGAACAAAGGATGCAGATTCAATGCTGAACATACCATATTATTTCTTGGACCCCACTATTAGAATCTAATGATCTTGTTTGTATGGTCGCTTGCACAATGCATACCAGATGATTTTCCAATTATAGTGGTTGTAGCAACAATGACAACGTAATAGTAGCAAACGGACATTCAAAGAAGAATAAAAACGAAACATAGAAATAATAAGACATATTATTAGCACTAATGTGGGCAACCCAATAATCAACTTACCATTTGGGGGTGGTTTATACCACCCATTCATAGTGAGGTGGGGCTCCTTTACGGTGCGCGGGAGGCAGCTGGCCAGGTAGGGGGCGCAGCAATGAGAACGGAGGGTGGGTTGTTAGGGTATGTTAGGATGTTAGAATTTATAGCAGTGTATGAACGTGTATGATATCTGTATCTAATATCTATCTATGTCTGTTTGTATCTTTATCTATCTATCTATCTACCTATCTATATATATATGTATGTATATGCACACAACTATCTGCACATATAGATATACTATGCGTGTCAACCATCATTACAGTATGTAGATATTTATTTTGTAGTATCTGTCCGGGTGGCGTTATTTTTTCATGAGCAACATGTAGATGTGGGCCTGTGGAGGGTGTGACTGTTGGGTGACCATGTTGGCTTAGTGCAGCTAAGGGGCTTTCGCCGAGAGGGTTTGGAGGCCCGTGCGTGGAATTCACCCTGCGAGGCTTGGTCTGAAAACTTGGGAAGGGCCCAGGGTCTCCAAATTGGCCCTAAATGTTGGCTTCAATGCGACTTGAGATTTTGCCTTTTGTTTTTTTGAAACATTTCAAAGTTTGAGCAGCCAACAGCACACTGGCAGACAAACGTGCGATTTGGGACCCTCAGTTTTGGGCCAGTTTTGGTTCCCGAACCTGTTCTCAATTACTCCACGGTCACAAGTTGGGATATCCATGGATATTCCTCATTGCTGGACAACACAGGTCAGTTTTGGAATTGTTTCTAATATTTTCTAATTATCTCTCTTCAGAATGGCTGGTATATAAATATATTGGGGGGGCATTCTCGCCATGATTCTATCCACTTCGAAATTCGTTTCTGGACAAACCCATTGGTTGATGGTGGAACATTGGCGTGAAGTGGGTTTAAATGGATGCAAATTATGTGTGGATTGTACTTAGGTGCTAACTGGTACTTGGGTTTGTTTGAAAATTGTGTACTGCACCCCAAAGCGAAGTGGTTTATCTTCACTGTTGCCTTGGAAGTTGCAATTTTCATGCGTACCCCATTTTTGGGCAAACCGATATCCATTCTTCATTGGTTAAATCGTCAACAATTTAGATGGTTGCACTCCCATTTGTTGTTGATGGCATATCAAACATTTTTCCATCAACAACCAGCATCGGCTATTTTGATGGTGATTCCTATCTCTGCTATTCCTGATGGTTTAAGTCATCTAAAATCACTGTTTTGATGGTTGTTTTTATTGTTAAACCACGTCGCCAAGCTGAATCCCCCCAATCATTTTTCTGCAGGCCTGGTGTGCCACTGAACGTGGTCACTGGAGCCCCAGCAGCTTCGTTCATGTCGGAAACCCCAGCAACTACCAATCTTCGGTTTGGAAATCTATTAATTCATATGAATCATGGACCTAGGTTTGTTTAATGTGATTGTTTTTTTTGCCATTGAACATCCACCATTTGGGGGAATCTCTCTCTCTCTCTATCTCTCTATCTATATATATATATAATTATATATTATATATATATATTTGGGGGGGGCCCTTGAGCAAATCCAAGTGACATCACCACTATAAATGTTGGATTCTAAGATGGACACTAAATAAGCAACTCGATAAACCTTAAAAAATGCCAGCAAAGATGAGGATTTCATTGAACTGCCATTTAAAAGGGCTATTTAACCAGTATTATTCTTTCTTATGTTGGTGGTTTCAAACAGGGCTTTAATAAATTACCAGATTTGGGATGATCATGATGATCATCCCAAATCTGGTAATGAATCACTCAGGTTCAGCTGGTTCAAGTCAAAGCTAATCACTGGGGTTGCCTATGGTTGCCTTAAAGGATTGTACATGATTGAAAATTGACTTGATGGCCAGAAGAAGATGCTGCTGATGATCATGATCCCATATGATCCCCAAATTCATTCAGATCTAACAGTTAGCAATGGACAATGCTGTGAAGATGCATCTGCCTGTCTACCGGAGGGTGCCCATCCTGTAATTCCTGAGGTGAAGTATGTTTGTCTTTGTGCCGCTCTGGGTTGGCCTCATGCAGTCCATGTCTATGATCCAGTGGACTGACCCTGGGCCATGCTGAGGAAGTTGAGCTCAAGAGCAGACCCCCAAAACATGCAGTTCGATGGGGGTTTTCATGGACACCATTTCTTTGATCCATTTCTTGGAACCCAAAAGCAGTGGAAGTGGAGGACGTCTTCGGGATGCCAGAGAACATCAGCCTCCTGGATGCTGCGGCCTGACAGCATCGTGTCCCACTTGGCATGGCACAGGTGGACAACAAAATCACACCTTCACCAACCAATGTATCCGATCATGTCCAACATTGAAATTTTTGGGCGTGGGATTGTTCTTAGTTGGCTTCTTCAGGGCTTGATTCTTTGGTTTTCGATGACATATGAGTGTATGGCATACATTTTCCTTCGACAAATCCCAATGAAACTGGCTTAACAGTAACATCTGATGATTGTGATGGGCTTCGATGTGGCTGAACGGAAACATCCTCCAGGTCCTGGTGCAGACCTCCTTGGCCAAGGGCGACTTGGTGGAACATCCCCCGCTGAGAGCACTGAAAAGCAAGGCCGGAGCTTGGGACCCATGGCATTCCATGGATATCCATGGACAGTGGTGGGATATTTTCACCCTTTGCATCCCTGTTTGAGCGCGTTGGATTCCACCATCGGCGGTGTGTGTGAGGCAAGTTCAAGGCCCGTGGAACTTCCTATGGGGCCTGAGTGAGTTATTGAAATCGGCCTACGCTGCTGTTTTTCTTGCTTAGAAGGTTTGGCTCACTGGGTTAGACCTGATCTTCAAAGCTACCTGTCCCCATACAAATTGTGCTATCATGGCCTCAACGTTGGAGCAAGCCGAACGCGGTATTGCCTATCCACCAGCCGCAGACCTCCCAGTCGTTAAGGGAATTCCAGTGAGAGCCGGGCCGGGCGTCATTGGAGCACGGGTCAGCCACCTGCAACCGCCTCCTGTGGCTGTGCCGGCGACTCTGTTGGACATGGATGAGCAGGCAGGGTATCCACTTCAAAAATTGACAGAAGGCAATGATTTCTGTGGGACGGCTTCGTGATCTCAGTTGTTTGAACATGTTTGAAGTCCGGGATCATGGGTGGCACAGTGCGTCTCATATCCGAGTATGTTCATGTGTACATATCACTCCATACATGGCCATATATATATATAAATAGTACGCTACACAGATACACACACACACACATGCTTTTTGTATGTTGTATTTGTTTGTGTGCACATGTATTTGCACATGTCCTGAATCCTGAGCACTCCCGAGACCGTGTTGAACTACCAGATGGCAGTGTGGTGCTTTGCCTTCCTGGACATGGTCTCCACGGTGCTAAACATCGTCGCAGTGTACGCCTCTGGGCTTCAATGGAACCCTTGGCAGCTTCTGTTTTTGCTGCTGCTGGTGGGCCCCATCTGCGGCCTCATTGGCTCAGGGCATTTGAACAGATCTTTGGTGGCTGTCTTTGTGATCTCTTGCTTGGTGAAGGCGGTGATTCAGGTGAGCTACGCGCTTTACACCTTCTATCTCTGGACCATCCTCTTTGCCTTTCTTCAATGTTGGATCACCAAGATTGCAGCCACCTTCTGGTGGGTCTTGGGAAACCTCACCAAGGAGAGGCGACGTCAAGTGCTGGAAGTGAAGAATTATGATGTTCAAAGAGTTTATTGGTGATCGATAGTGACCGTTTGAGCCTGCACCAATGGAATTCGGGGACGGTGGTGTGAGAGTCATCTTGTACAGGGTGCCATTCACAGTGTGCCATTAAAATTTCAACCTTGCAATCTATGTACAGCTGAGGTGAGACTGCGACTGGGTTTGCATCAGAACCCCCTCCTGGAACTTTGAAACGCTGCCACTTTCAAAGCCACACAGCTGGCACGGCCGCGGCATGTAAAGCTTCGCGTATCAAATTGCCGAAGATGTCACGACTGACATCCGCACAGTAGGAACTGTTCCGCTGGAGGATACAAACCAACCACCTGTGTTGGCAGAGTATTGATGAAAAGAGGCAGCAGGCCAGCATATCGATGTCTCTTCACCTGAAATTCATGGGCAAAGGTTGGAGAGCAGAAGGAAGGATATCATTTTTTGTCTTTTTGGTGTGGTTTCTGCCAAGTTGATCTATGTCATAATATGTCATCTAAATCGCACCAACCCAATCCACCGTTGCCGGCAGGTGGCCATCCATTGGTTGCCCCTGCACCACTCCAACTGGCACGAGCTCCGGGTCTATCCCGAGGAGAAGGTGAGTCGTGTGGGGGTTGCTGGGCAGGACCTGGGGTGGCAGGACCTGAGGATGGGTGAGCAGCCATCATGATCATGATCATAATGCTACTACATATATCTAAATAGAATAGTATATTATGATAATCAGCTTATTATTATGATGCATTATGCTACTATCAACTACATATATATATATAATAAAATGAGAATTTATTGATATGTATTGACAAATGATTTTTTTGAATAATGGGGAGCGCTTATTCTGGTACGATTATTATACATAAAACATGCATACCATATGTATATATATAATATAATATGATATAACATAATATAATATGATATAACATAATATAATATATTATAATAAAATATGATATATTCAACATAATATAACACAATATAATATAATATAATTCAATATAATATAATTTAATATAATATAATGTAATATAATATAATATAATATATTATATTTATTATATGTATAATACATTAATATATATATGCTATGTATAATATTGTAAAATATGATAACATATAATACGATATAATCACACATATATATATATATTACACACACATATATATATATATGTTATACATGATATATATATATAATCGTTGGTTATGATGCCTATATTTTGTGTGGGGTGGGCATCCATTTGCCGCAATGATTTTTTGATTTCTGCCAGGCTACCACGGTTTTGAAGAGCCATATGGCTGGATTTGGGATGCCAATTAGGCCCATGTACTAAGTTGGCCCCCGGTAAAAGAACTCTTGTGGAATGCTCACAGATCAATGGATCCAGGGGTATTTTACAGGAACCCCAGGAACCCCTATATTTCATGGGACAATCTGTGGTTCCTGTAGATTTTCCCTTAAACCATTCCAGCTTTGAGGTTCATACCGTCCACACAGATCGAGAACTTGAAGGCAAGAGTTGGAGATGTGGCCGTGAGTACTTCTATACATATCTTAGCTTGTGTACATCTCATCCAATACCCCTGTATTTCCACATACTGTATCAAACATGTTTCTTTTTTTCTAGCAACCCAAGATCCTCTCTCTCTCTCTCTATGTATCCTGTCTCTGTCTCTTCTCTTGGTTTCCACACGCGCAGACACGGGCCATGTATTGCACATGGTACCAGGGAGGATCTCTGCCGGTGCTATCCGGTGCTCAAGCATGCGATCTGTCTCATGGCACCGTGATCTCCGAGCCGCGCTTGGCGTGGGGCTGGTCCTTCTAACTGCCCGGGTGGCCTTCACCGGATGGCAGGCGGTGCGAATAGGAAGGGGGGATGATATCCAATAGGATCCAATAGGATTTACATGGTTGGGCCAGATCGTTTAGGAAATATATATATATGTAATTATATATATATGTGATATATATATATATATATGCACATAAATATTATTTACATATGTGCACTGTATGTCCTCCCCCAGGCGCCTAGCGCTGCCGGGCGGCGCGCCGTGTGGTGCCGCAACTCCGCCACGCCGCGGCAGGCGGCGCTGGCGCCGGAGGTGACGAAGCTGTGGCGCGGCGGCATGGGATGATGGGAGCCATGTCCCCATTAATGTTCAACTATCAGCCATTGTATTCCTTGGTCATCCACATTATCATCCATGATGAATGGGATGAATGGAATATGAATGACACCTAATGTAGTTGATATGATTGTGAATTACTAATGGGCTATCATGCAACATTATTACGGAATATATATATATATAATATGTGGACACTACCAGAATAAAGTGTCCGTACATAATGTTTGATGGACCAGTGATGGATGATGAGATAGAATACCATGAGTGATTATAATGTGGATGACCACGGAATACTATGGATGATAATGGAATAGCACGATTATTATTTGTGAGGGATGATTCTGATGAATTATTAAACGCTATTCCTGTAATTTCCTCATCTATTATGGAATTATCATGATGGATGATGATGATGGGCCGATGGTTGAACATCTTGGGCTCATTTTTCGAGAAGGGAATATCACATCAGGAGCAACGACATTTTACGATCATTTGCGTTCTTGTGATGTGGCACAAGAGTTTCAGGGATGAGATGACAAACATTTTCCAAGCTCTTGGAATCTCTTGAGATCGCTGTGCCTTCTGAGGTTCTTCCAAAAAGCCAAGGGCGACCAGGCGCTCGATTGTGTCCATGTGATTGGCTCATGCCATCAGTGTTTTTTTGTCTCACCGCGCCAGGAGGAAGCCGTGCGGTTTCAGGTAGCATCTTCCGTATCTGCTGTGGCTGAAGTGTATGCGTCCCTCAGACCGGGGAAGAAGAAGGTGGAGCAGTGGATAGTGTACACTCTGGTAATCTAACCAAGGGGAAATCCTCATCCTTAAAAAGGAACGTCATTAAAATCACAAACGGTAGATGTTCCATGGCAAAGGATCGCTAGTTGTGGGGTGAGAGAGCAGCAGATGGGCTAGACCCACGCGGTCCGTTTGAAAGATATTTTGACGTGTAACCTTTGAATATTGTGGAGTAAACTATACCCACTTATTCATTAGTAAACCCATTTAATCCTCAATACTAATTTTGGCTCAAGATGAAAAGGTCCGCAGCCGCTGCCCTCGGTGTGGTTGGGACTTTTGTCAACACCCTTTGGGGTTCTGTTGTAATCAACATTTTAATTGTCACTGGTAAGTGGGTACAATTTGCAACTTGACAAAATTAACTCGTATTTTTTTTAGAAAAGAAAAGACGTTGGGTATGCTGCTTTCGTGGGCACATGTGCATATATATATATATGAGAATCTCAAGTCTGGTGCTTTTGAGATAGGTTGAGACCACTTACCTCTAAGGCATTCTAAGGCAGAAAATGCGGAAATAAGAAATACCCGTCATGCCAGCATCTCGTGGGATTTCCAACGCCCAAAAATTGGCAAAGACAATGGACCACCCAAGGAACGGTTGCCAAATAATTTACCAAAACAGGAAACTGTAGGAAACTCATGATCATCGTGGTCGCTTATTTTTCAAACGCTTCCCTGATAGGAAATTCAGATGTCAGAGTTGGATCATGGGGAAATTGACATCGTGTGCCCTGAGGTCCTTGTTGCTGCGACGTCGGCGGCAGAAACCTGGAAGTCGCTCCGTGATTTTTGTTCCACAGCTGAGATCCTTGGGAGAAGATGCAGCACGTTTTCTCCCCCCGATAGTGGGATACGGTCATATTTGTTTTTAAATAGCAACCCCCAAAAAGATAGAAAAGAAAATCATCACTACTTCAGTAGGAATTTACCTGTTTGTCTTTTTGGGGAATTGGCATATCGTGGTTGCAGAACCTATTGAATCTTATAGTGTTTCTGACCAGGCAGCTGTTGATCTTATTGTAATTTCCGCCTATACAATGGGATATTATTGGTATACAGTGCTGAATGGGAGATTGTTGGAATGTAGCCCAGGATCAATGAACCAGCAATTCATTAATAGGGGGTAACAACTTTAATAGTAATTGATTTCACTATTCCGGGCGGACCCCCCGAATTGATAGTCAGTGGTGACCCTTTGTGTGTGTTTCTGAGCGAGCTGTTTCAACAATTTAAAAGAGAGGACATGTAATGAGACCATTAATGCCAAAGACAACAATGATTATATGTCCAATGGCAAATTTAGGCTACAAAGCGTTGTTGGCCTTCAAGGCAAGCTTTCTGAATAGTAAACGTTCCTCAGCAAGCAGATCCCAAGCACGATTTGAAAGGTAATTATGCTATGAAGGGTTGATGCAGCTGTCACACCTGTACTTAGGTCCAAAAAAAAACATGGGCTGTCACAGAACTGGTTATTTTGGAATCCTGCAAAAACTGTTCTTAGATTTAGATTTGTTCCTAGAGGGTCGTGGATCTTCGATCTTTGCATTCACACACCACCACAGTGACAATCTTGGACATAGCGAGTTCTAAAGCCTTGTGCGCCCTTGAGATTCAGATTCCATATGCCTGATCATCCATTTGAGTTCAGGACCGGGATGTTGCTACATCTTGACGCAGATGTAGACAATAAACACACATAAATAAGCATTATTGGCCGAACTCCCACCAGGAAAAAGCACATGATAAAACACGTATTTCATTAAGTAATCCACCTGCCATCACTCACAAGAAACAAGAACCAAGTTGGATTTCACTCCTGGGGTATCCATGGCAGGCCGGGGCGAGGAAATACATCGAGTGCTTCAGGAGCCATTGGGTGCTGTTCCATTCTGTTTCATCCCTGCCTTGGACGGAGAATCCCGTTTGACGTAGGATCTTTATAATCATTATACCAGTAGCACTGCACAAGGCGGTGGCGGAAGTTTCAAAAATAGGAAACCTATAGGAGAGGTTGTTTTTTTGTGAACCACTGATGACAGAGCGAATCCGCTGATGGACCCGAAGGTGGTTGGAGTTGTGCTTTTTGAAATGGTTCCAGTGGTCACCTCACCACAACTGCTGGATGTATCTATCTATCTATCTATCTATCTATCTGTTTGTCTGCCTGTCTGTCGATCTATCTATCTATCAATCAATCTACCTATCTATCTACCTATCTATCTATCTATCCATCCATCCATCTATCTATCTATCTATCCATCCATCCATCCATCCATCCATTCATCTATCTCTGTCTATCTATCTATCTATCTTTCTTTCTTTCTTTCTATCCTATCTATCCTATCTATCCTATCCTATCCTATCGTATGCATCCTAACCTTCCTTTCCTATCCTATCCTATCCTGTCCTATCCTATCCTATCCATCCTATCTATCCTATCCTATCCTATGTATCCTATCCTTCCTATCTTATCCTATTTATCCTATCTATCCTATCTATCTATCTATCTATCGATCTATCTATCTATCGATCTATCTATCTATCGATCGATCTATCTATCTATGTATCTATCTGTCTATCTGCAAGCTTGAAAACGAAGCTATTCTGCGAGACTGCCCGAGTTTTTGAACTTGACAACATCAAAAACACAGCAATTCTGCGAGACGTCCTCAATTTTGGAAGTTGGCAGCATCAAAAACGAAGCAATTCTGCGAGACCCCCTTCAATAATGGAAAGTTGAGTGCAGAGCTGACAGCCTCGTACCGATGCGTTTTGCGATTTTTCAGTCCATGTCTCTAAAGTGTTGCGTCTGCCACGAAAAAGTGATGCCAGGTCATACGAAGTGCTGCACCTGTGACACAAAATCATATCCTTAAAACTGAAGATCTGATGCTCCAAAATGCAACCCCTCTCAGGAAATCAGCCCTAACATCTCTGCTTGTACCGCGCCTGCCATGGAAAATGCATCTTTGCAGATCCTCTTCAAATGTCCCACGCCTGCCAACACTTTTGAAACTGCTACAAACCCTCACGCTTTGCTCACTTTTGACAAGGTGCAGAATCTTTTGCACCGGCCACGCGAAACGACATCTGAACATCCAAAAGTTTTCCGAGCATGTGGTGCTTGTGCATTTTGACTTGGAAATGTGCTTCGCGCCACAGCGGCGTTCACTTTTTCGACATCTCAAATTCCGAAACTGTCAGATGTCGGCCTGAAACATACGTGTTTCTTTCATGCTTCACTCCACACTTCAGGTTTGCTCCGAACCTGGTGTGCTTTGCGCAATTTGACCTGGAAACGTGCTTCGCGCCACAACGGCGTGCGCTTTTTCAACATCTCAATTTCCAAAATTGTTCTGAGCCCGTCAGTTTTTTACACTTTTCACTTCCAAATGTGCTTCGCGCCACAACGGCGTGCTATTTTTCGACATCTCAACTTCCAGAAGTGCTCCGAGCACGGTGTGTTTTGTACGTTTTGACTTCGACATGTGCTTCGCGCCACGACGGCGTGCAATTTTTCATTTCTCATCTGGCCAGATGGCTCCGCGCCCGCCGTTTTAGCGAGCCTACTTTTCGACCCTCTGGAGCCACAAATCACTGGAAAAACACAGTGAATTGGGACTTTCTTACCTTTTCGCGCACCTGCATTTTCTTTCCTCTGACTCTTTCTCTTCTCTGATCTTCTTTATTCTTCTCTTCTCTTCTCTTCTCCTCTCCTCTCCTCTCGTCTCGTCTCTTCTCTTCTCTTCTCTTCTCTGGCTCTTCCCACCTCTGCTGTCCTATCTGTCCATATTGTCGGAAGTTTAACTTCTAAACTTCCTTCGATCACTTGTTTTTTTTTTAAACTTATTTTTTTTAGAGATAGGTTGAAACCAGGGTTTTCTCAAAGCAAGATTCATCATCAAGAATCTTAGCCGTCTCCTTCCAGTTCAGCCCCAACTTAAGACCAGGGACGATGCTCTTTTGGTGCCCAATGTATGAAAGTAAAAACGCGACCTCATTTGATCAGTTTTAGCTCAGGGGTATTTATATAAATAAATAAATAAATCAATCAATACATAAATAAAAAATAAACAAATAAATAAGTAAATAAATACATAAACAAATACATGAATAAATAAATAAACAAATAAATAAATAAATAAATAAATAATATATATATATATATACTATGAATGAATGAGCCACCGCAAGGACCCCGGCAATACTAAACATGTAAGGGACGGACATCGGTTTGTGGAAATGTATGGAAATTGTAAAAAAAAAGAAGGTAAGCGATACCCCCTTTCAAGATTATGCCATTTTGGGCGTTGATTTCTGTGAATTGTATAGATTTGGGCTCACCAGGGCGCGTGCTCCTCAGAAAGTGTTCTTCTTGATATCCATGGAGTGGTCCGCAGAGAAGGGAATTCGCAGAAGCGGAAGGCAGGTCCCTGTAAAACTGTTTGTTTCACTAGCTGCCTTCACATCCTTGCCTTGCATGTTCTCATTGACTCTCCACTTGAACTTTCGCCATTTCGTTGCCTCTCTGCCTCTCTGCTGACTTTATCTCCCCAGTGCTGTTGTTTAGTGAAGCTTCCTTGTGACAAATTCTTGTCGTTGCTATTCGTTGCTGAAGAGTATTTCCATCGACACCTGTGAATGCGCACTGTTTTGCTTGCCTCTCTGCTGGCTCTAGCTTCGTACTGCTGTTGTTGCATGAAGCTGCTTTCTGACAAAGTACTACAGTATCAACAGGCACCAAATTTGGAAAATTATGAGGTGAGTTTTAGCGATGCCCTAGCGATGCCTAAGCGATACCCACGCGATACACCATGATACACCCCTTTTTCTGCCCCAGGGCACATCAGTCTGTGACACATTCATGTTTTCTGGTGGCAAGCTAGATACAGATAGCTAGATAGAGATAGCTAGATAGATAGGTAGCCGGCTAGCTAGCTAGCTAGATGGATAGATAGATTAGGTGGGCAGATAGACAGATAGACAGATCGACTGGCATTCTATCTGACATTCTTTCGGGCCAGAGAGCTGGCAAGCTTGCCATAGTGTTCCCATAGGGGCCCAGAAAGCTGGCAAGCGCCATAGCATTCGGGTTTGTAGGCCCGTATAGCTAGAAAGCTCGCTAAAGAGTGGCCGTATAGAGGTGGCCTCTGGCTGTCCATGCCGAGGAAGCTGGAAACTCAGTGTGGCGTGGTGTGGTGCAGGGTTCAAATCCATAGACCCTCACCTGGCAGGTGGGGAAAAAGAGATTTGCAAAGCACCTCTGCCAGCAGCACCTCTTCAGATAGCTCAGAGTCCTGCAGCGAAGATGCCTGACCCCAAAAAGAAACACAGCCTCCGCTCTGGAGTCAAGTAGATCATTAAATTTTCCTGCCAGCGATGCCCCCCAAGTTTGCCATATACCGTTTTTGTGCAAACGTGTGGTAAGCGATGGGGCCTTCCCAAATTTGTGTATGTCCTTTCTGTGAACCTAGGGTTTTCGAGATGGCTCATGTATTGAAAAAACGCGGTGCCCCAAAAGTAGGTTTCTTGTTGGCTTTAGGTTTGTCTGAAAATAAGCCACCTCAACATTTGTTCATCAGCTCCAGGAGCATGGGTTGAAAGCCTCCTTGCTCTCACACCGGTCCACGGAGACGAGCCCTTTCGACTCTGGGTCAAAGGGGTCGTTGGGACACATGCTTCGGGCTAGGATTTTCTGAGAAAGATCCCCCCAAAGTATCCCAACCGGAACTTAGTTTCCAAGTCCTTTTTTGGAACACTTTGAGAAGCTACGCCCATTTGTTCTTTGAATCGGTTTCTGGGAATGTTAGGCGGTGTTTTGTTGGTGAAGACACATGTTCCAGATGCTGAAAAAGTACCTAGAGATAGCCACATGTGTGTGTGTGTGTTCTTTAGCCTCTGGCTGAACTCTTGGAGAGGGCGACGGATGGAAAGACAGAGAGAAAGAGAGAAAGAGCCAAGTATGTAGTTCCCTTGGCTGTCGCGTTGACGCCCAGGACTCGGTAATAGTGTGCCTCTATGGATCCATCCATCGATTGGCAGGCCTGGCGGAAGAAACGCCAAACCCAACAATAAACCGAATGAACATGACTATATAAACCCGCACCGCTTAATGCATTTTCTGTTTGGGGGTGTCGAAAGCATACTCCACAAATGGGGGGTTTATCATTGGGTGTTTTGGTGCTTGGGATCCTCGCCTGGCTGCGGCAGGTTGTCGTTTCGATGTGAAGATCATCGACGAAGCCTTTGGCCTGCGGCATTCCACGAAGACCAAGGCGGGAGATAAGAGAAAGCTGCGGAGAATGGGGATGCTGACAGACGTATTTTCATAGTTATTGTTTTCATATGTTTTTTTTCGTACTGCGTGTCGTGTGTGTGTGTGAGTATACATTCATATCGAAGGAAGTTTAGAAGTCAAACTTCCGACGCTATGGACAGATGGAAAAGCAGAGGTGGGAAGAGTCAGAGAAGAGAAGAGAAGAGAAGAGAAGAAGAAAGAAGATCAGAGAAGAGAAAGAGTCAGAGGAAAGAAGATGCAGGTGCGCGAAAAGGTAGAAAAGTCACTGTGTTTTTTCCCATGATTTGTGTCTCCGGATGGTCGAAAAGTAGGCTCGCTAAAGCGGTGGGCTTGGAAGTGAAAAGTGGTAAAAGCTGACGGGTTAGGAGCATGTTTGGAAGTTGAGATGTCGAAAAAGCGCACGTCATTGTGGCGCGAAGCACATTTCGAAATCAAAAGTGTTAAAAACTGACCGATTCGGAGCAATTTTGGAAGTTGAGATGTTGAAAAAAATGCAACCAAACAGTTCAGGTGCACCTCTCACCTGGTTCACTTGTTCACCTAATGCCTGTCTTAACCTCAGTACTTGCATGGGGTGCACGCCTTTGTGGCGCGCGCGAATTTCGAAGTCAAAATGCGCAAAGCACTTCAGCCTCGGAGCATTTTTGAAAGTTGAGATGTCGAAAAAGTGCACGCCGTCGTGGCGCGAAGCACATGTCGAAGTCAAAACGTACAAAACACACCGTGCTCGGATGTGCTCGGTGCTCGGAGCACTTTTGGAAGTTGAGATATCGAAAAGTTGCATGCCGTTGTGGCGCGAAGCACATTTGGAAGTGAATAGTGTAAAAAGCTGACGGCTGAGGAGCAATTTTGGAAGTTGAGATTTTGAGATGTTGAAAAAAGTGCACGCCTTTGTGGCGCGAGCACATTTCGGAGTCAAAATGTACAAAACACTTAAGCCTCGCAGCACTTTTGAAAGTTGAGATGTCGAAACAGTGCACGCCGTCGTGGCGCGAAGCACATGTCGAAGTCAAAACGTACAAAACACATCGTGCTCGGATGTGCTCGGTGCTCGGAGCACTTTTGGAAGTTGAGATATCGAAAAGTTGCATGCCGTTGTGGCGCGAAGCACATTTGGAAGTGAAAAGTGCTAAAAGCTGACGGGTTCGGAGCATGTTTGGAAGTTGAGATGTCGAAAAAGCACACGCCTTTGTGGCGCGAAGCACATTTCGAAGTCAAAATGTACAAAGCACGACATGCTCGGACCACGTTTTGAAGGTTCAGATGTGGTTTTGCGTGGCAGGTGCAAGGGATTCTGCACATGGCCAAAAGTGAGCAAAACGTCAAGGTTTTCTGGCATTTCAAAAAACGATGGCAGGCGTGGGACATTTCCAGAGGATCTGCAAAGATGCATTTCGCCTGGCAGGCGCAGTACAAGAGACATGTTCATCAGAGATGTTGGGAGATCACAGCGCTGATTTCTTGCATTTTGGAGCATGAGATCTTCAGGTTTGCTAAGATGATTTTGCGTGACAGGTGCAGCACTTCGTACGACCTGGCTTCACTTTTTCGTGGCAGACGCAATACTTTAGACAGATGGTGATGGAATGGAAAAATCGCAAAAAGCATTGGCACGAGGCCGTCAGCTCTGCACTCATCTGCACTCAACTTTCCATTATTGAAGGTGGTCTCGCAGAATTGCTTCGTTTTTGATGTTGTCAACTTCGAAAATTGAGGAAGTCTCGCAGAATTGTTTCGTTTTTGGCGTTGTCAAATTCAAAATTGAGGAAGTCTCGCAGAATAGCTTCGTTTTCAAACTTGCAGATAGACAGATCGATAGACAACTACCACTACCACTACCACTACACTAAACTACAGCTACACCTACAAATACAATGCGCAAATACCACGCTACATTGCACTACACTACTTACACTACATTACACTACACTACCCTACCCTATCCTACACTACACTAATTCCACTAAATCCACTCATTCCACTAATTCCGCTAATTCCATTAATTCCACTAGTTCTACTAATTCCACTATTTCCACGAAGTCCATTGATTGCATTAATTACACTAATCACATTAATTACACTAATTACACTAATTGCATGCACTAATTACTAATTACACTAATTACACTAATTGCATGCACTAATTACACTAATTGCATGCACTAATTACACTAATTACACTAATTACACTAACTACACTAATTACACTAATTACACTAATTACATTAATTACACTAATTACACTAATTACACTAATTACACTAATTACACTAATTACACTAATTACACTAATTACACTAATTACATTAATTACACTAATTACGCTACACTACAACTGCAACAACAACAACAACTACAACTACAACTACAACTACGACTGCAAGCACTACAAGTACTACAAGTACTACAAGTACTACAAGTACTACAAGTACTACAAGTACTACAAGTACTACAACTACTACAACTACTGCAACTACTGCAACTGCTGCAACTACAACCACAACAACTACTACCACCACCACCACCACGACGACGACTACTGAAATACTGCTACTGCTACTAGTACTAGTACTAGTACTAGTACTAGTACTAGTACTACTGCTACTACTGCTACTGCTACTGCTACTGCTACTACTACTACTGCTACTACTACTACTACTACTACTACTAGTACTACTACTACTACTACTACTACTACTAATTACTACTACTACTATTACTACTACTACTACTACTGCTACTACTACTACTAGTACTACTACTACTACTACTAGCACTAGCACTAGCATTAGCATTAGCACTAGCACTAGCACTAGTATTGCTACTGATGCTATTACTATTACTACTACTACTACCACCACCACCACTACTATTAGTAGTACTACTAACTACTACTAGTTCCGCCACAGCTACAACTACAATTATGTCTACACTACATTACACAACACTACACTAATTACATTGCAGCACGCTGCAACTACAAATGCAAATACAGCTGCAACTACACTACATACGCAACACTACACTACACTAGTTAGCATACATTACACCTACAGCTGCAGCTACAACTGCAACTACAACTACCACTACATTAGACTCCGCTACGCTACAGCTACAATTACACTACTTTACACTACACTACATAGGCTACATACAGTACACCACACTACTGCACACAACACTACAGTACACTATGCGACTACACTACACTAATTACACCACACCACAACTACAACTGCAACAGCAACTGCAACTACACTACGCTAATTACACTACATTACAACTACAACCTCACTACGCTACACTACAACTACAACTACAGCTGCACTGCACCACACTACATCCGGCAGTTGTGGTGAAGTGACCACTGCAACCATTGCAACCACTCCACAAAACACAACTCCAACCACCTTTCGGTCCATCAGTGGATTCGCTCTGCCATCCGTGATTCACAACAACCAACCTCTCCTATAGGTTTCCTATTTTTGAAACTTCCGCCACCGCCTTGTGCTGCACTACTGGTAGTATGTACTTGTATGTATGACATATACAGACGCATAGCCACATGAGTAAATACCAAGCAAAATGAGGAAGAGGGGGATGGACAAACACATTTGCTGTTGGGGCTTAGGTGGCCCTTTATCGATTGGTCCGCCAAAAAAGTGAAAATATCAGGTTCAGTCAATTTATATACGTTTTGCGATGGATAGGCATGCGCACCCGCCCCCTACACAATATAAAAATAAAAACCCCACCTTTCCACCTTTTGACATCCAGAAGTTCCAAATGAACCATGGCCGTGGCTTAATGACCCTGTTGGGCCTCAGCTTCAGGCCAAGGTCCAGGCTGTTCCTGCCAGTCTGGTGGCCGAATTTTCCTTCACCTTTGGCACAGAAGAGGTGGACTACAGGTGCCGTTGGGTGATGTCACCCCCACCTAGATTAATGGGAACTGTGGAGCTGGCATTGACTCGGTTTCATCAGTCATCATGGTTGAATTCAAACAACTCAGATGCGTTAATTTCCATGCTTTTGAGCACCCTCGTGTGATTTTCTTCTTTACCGTTTCTACTTCATTCACGGACGCCAAGATATTCCTTGAGCCAACACCCCGCCACAACACAATGGCATGCAATGGTTGTGGCAGGTATTCCATGCACCAAGCCCTGGACGCAGATGAACTCCATCCCGTGGACTGCTTTGGTTTGCCCATCGCAGCCCCAAGTGGTGTTGGGCGGCGGAAGATGGTGGCAGACTGGATCCAGCGGCAGCAACACAATTGGCCGGGAAACACCCGTGCGGTGCTGTTTTACCAGGCCCAGGCGCCAATTGGAAGTTGACATTCCTCATGTTGAGTGTAAATGGGGGGGATGGGAGGGGTGATATACCAATGCTAGTGGAACATTCTGTAAAATGGAGTGATCCCGCAGATTAGTCAGCCAGGCAGCGGCCGAATTTGCTGAGATGTTGAAAGGCCTTGGGGTTGAGGCTGGATACCATGATGCTTGCAAGCCCCATGGGCCAGAGGTTGGCAGCAAGCAAGTGTTGCTTGGTGACAATATATACAAGGGATATGACACCTCAAAATCGGGGTGTTGAAAATGGGAACCCAGCACTGCAGCACCCTTCGTTTGGCAGCCCCAAATTTGACAAGTTGCCCCCGAATCCTACGTTGTTTGACATTTCTGCAAAAATTGCGCCACAGCCAGGTTGTGTTTGGCCAGGGGTCAAGCCACTGACTTTGGAGTTAAGGGCGTGCAAACTGTAATCCTTGCAGAGCCCACACGCCAGCCCAGCTCACTGAAATATCTGCAACATTTGCTGCAAAATGTTTGGAGGGACAAATTTCACAGGCGAAGATGGCTCATCGAGGTTCTGGACGGCAATGGCAGAGATAGCACCGTTCAAAACCGCATGAAGGCCTATTCCGACCACCTATCAGCCTTGACGGAGCCGGGCCACATCCTGTCCCCGCTGTCCCGAACTTCCCCACAGTTGCTGGACCTCTGTGGTCGGAGCTTTCCGCTGTTGCGGTCGAATTTGCGGAGTCTGTTGCGGGCTCAGGGTCGAGCAGATGAGCCCAGATGGCTCCAGAGCTTGTACGCATGGCTGCTGGAACATCAGCGCAAGCCACGGAGACATGTGGACCTGGAGGAAAGTCTTCAGGCAGAGAGGCTGAACAGAGGCTACCGCTATGTGCGCCAGAAGCTGTTTAATAAGAAGCTGGGCAAAGAGTGGCGAACTGGTTGGCAGTTTCCAGTCTTTCTTTGCCTCTCAAAGTTGAGGTAGCTAACCTCGGTTTTTTCTGTACAAATCTTCGGGACGGGTTGAAACCACCAACCAGCAAAGCTTTCATTTGTATTCATTTGTTTTGTTGTCTCGGGTGCCAAGTGCTTTCCAAAGTTCCCCAAGTTGACACCATTTTGTTGGGGGTCTGGGGCCATTGTTTCCAGAGGATCTGTTGATTGAAATGGTTCACATGGGATCCAATTGTGCTATATTCAGCCCTCATGGCCCCACCGCAAGGTACTCCCTGCTTGCATATGGTTGGCGCCACGGGTGAGATAATTATTGCGACATTTTTTATCATAGGATCCTGTACTATCCTTCCCAATCTTTAAGCCCATCACAGCCATGGATCCCTCACCAGCGCGCCGGCTGGTGTAGCCTTGCGAATGATGCAAGGAAGGAGGAAGAACTCTTTGACGCCTGCACCAGCCTATTGGGTTGCCGCCCCTGGATGCAGAACCTCTCCGATTGGGTAGTCGAACAGGGTCGCCTACCACAAAGTCGGTCCACGGATGCAGAAGAAAGGAAGCACGCCAAGAGGTGGCAGAATGCACAAAGGTATCTTCAAACGGGATGCTTGGATGTTTTAAGTCGCAATTTCGTTAGGCCGATACTATGATTTTCTTTTACCTAAACTGTTCCTTTGGTTTTCCCAGAAAGATATCCAGAGATTCTACTTCCTCTATTGCTTCTGAAATCGCCTGCCCCCAGGACAGCTGAATGCTGCAGAGACACAACTCTTTGAGAGTCGCGTTGGAAATCTTTCCCAGGGCGCTCAAGCGCCTGTCCGGGAATGGATGCAGAGTTTGCATTCATGGCTGAGGGACCACGGCCAGACCCTGAAGGCATCAGATCCGGAAGAAAAGCTACAGACTAGCAGGCTGAAGAAAGCAAAGGAATATGCCAAGGCAAGGTCGGCAAGGTTGGCCTTGATTTCAGGGTTTCCCAGTGAAAAGCTTTTTGGTATACTAGGCACAGCATGTAACAACTATACAAGTCATCTTTTGTTGATTCTGCATGTGGTTGATTATGAGCGGGAATGTGGCTCCTCAACTGGGGTAAACCTAAATATCTCGATGGCCTTGCCCATTTAGCGGGATTTTTAAAATTCAGTGCGGATCACACGGGTGGACAGATTAGGCGTTGAAAACTTAATTACATATATAGATAGATGATTGTTTGAGAGTTGGCTAGCTAATGCTAGCTATAGGTATGTTTGCATGCGTGCATGTGCATTTGTAGAGCATCATCTGCGCAAATGCACAAGACATCATATGCATATAACTGTTATAACTCATTATAATTCAATGTTAGTAGGTCCGTAGAATAAATGGGATAAAGAAGATAAATGTACATAACTTTGTTCGCAGACGCAAATCTCCATGCATCATGTTCTCTAGTTCGGTATAATTTTTGGACATAGTAACGGCAATACAAATAACTTAACAATAAAACTAAGAAATGAAGTGATACCTGGAGTTAACAATAGGAAAAATCGGTAATTAATTATCATACCGTATAATATTGATGACCGTATGTATAGAGAGAGAGAGGGACGTGCACCATCAGCATCTTTTTTGGTATCAGTCTTCATCACACCCTCCAGGCCGGCAAGCTGAATGCGGCCGAACAGCAGCTGTTCCATGAAATCTTGGCCGCTCGCCGTGGATTCCATGGATCACGGCCGTGGATCCAAAATCTGACCGCTTGGGTGAGGCGCATGGGCTCCAAACCCCGTAGAGGCGCCGAGAATCCGCTGGAACGGATGCAGGCGACGCGCTGGAGCCGAGCCCAAGGCTTGTTGAAACTGGGGCATCTCACGGCAGCGGAGGCGCAGCTGCTGGGTTGTAATTAGTGTAAAGATTTTCTTTGGGATTTTAGAAATCATTCATATTCAGAGGATCCTGTAGGATCTTATAGGATCTTATAGGATCATGATCTCAACAACTTTCATATATTGGGCTGGAACAGTGGGAACCCAGGCTGTTTCTGGAGACTCAGCGGTCTATTTCCGAAGCTTCGCAGCGCGGCTGGCTGAAATCCTTGCACGACTGGGTGAGAGATGCTGGTCGCAGGCCCAGGGACTCCGTGGAATCCGAGAGGAGACAGGCGACGAGGTGGATCCAGGCAGCAGCTTATGTGAGGACAGGAAAGTTCAATGAAGAAGAGACTTGGTTTGTCTTATCAGGATGTACCAATGTACCATGTTTTACCTCTTATGTAAAGGGTGAATGTGCATCTAAATGTTCAATTATTCCAGGTGCATTCGGGTGGTATAAAATCCGCTTTTGGATGGTTGCTGGGAATGATCCCTCAGAGTCTCTCCGATTCTGGGCTGACGGTTTCGGGGCATTTCAGCAGCCCTGTGGTTCTTTCTTTTCTGAAAGCTCTGAGGAGAAGGACCTCTTCCTTCGCTGCCAGGAAATCGCCAAAGCACATAAGGCTAATATGGACACCAAGGTCCGGGACTGGCTCCAGAGTTTGCATGCCTGGGTGACCAGCCATAACAAGCCTCGCTGGAACGCCTCAGACCCAGAAGAAAAACTGCAGGCGCAGAGGCTAAAGACTGCCCAGCAACGATTGAAAGCTGGAAAACTGAACTTGGCTGAAGAACGGCTGTTTCAAAGCTGCGTAACTTTTTTGCAGTCAAGTGCCTGACTGCTGACGCATGTGATGAAGCTCACCTGAGGCAGAAGCACGTGAGCCAAGCAGACAATTTTAAACGTAGTTTTCATCTAGGAAGCTTGCATGCCTTGGCCAATCTTTTCCAATCTTGGCCACTTGCCTTTGACAAACTTGACCCATCCAGATGGTTCCAAGATGTTCCAAGCCAGCAAGCTCCAAGTTGTGATCCGAGGAATCACAATGTACAAAGGAAGCGCCAACAGGGGCACGACCCTGCGCTGGGCGCTTTGCATTGCCATGCATGGCGCAGGGGATGTTGCTATGAGAATTTGGTGCCTACGAGTCAAAGCACAATGATATGAAAGCAGTTCAGTGTGTCAGTGAGCCATTAGATTCCGATCTTTTGCCGCATCGAGGCAGTCCTACAGATTTTAAAGGAACATAAAGGAACAACAACTATAACAATATATAACAATTATAAAAGCAGAGGCCACCTTCAAACATCCCCTGAGTGGATCCCTCACATTTTCGCACCTTTGCTGAACTCTCGGGCGGTGCACAGGTCGCCATGCCAGAGGCATGAGCTCCATGGCCCAGTTCGGCTTACCAGGTTGCCCTGCCAAGACCATTGAGCAATGCCCAAAATGGCTGATGGTCACATGTGGTCATATGATCAAACATTGTCAAAACGGGGCTGCATAGAGGCCTGATGGGGAATGTAAAGGCTCTCAACCAGTAGAATTCACGCCAGCTTTTGGAAACTGCTCGATTGGTTTTTTAAACGACAGATGTGATAGGTCTGATAGGTGACAAAAAAGTGAGCCTGGCTGCAGGTGCAGGTGGCCCGGAGTTCTCGGGGCAACTAGTAAGTGAGGGGCATAAACCATTTCCACTCGGAGGTGTGCCGCTGGTTTTACTGTATTGTACCACATTATTATGCATTGTCAGAGAGAGAGAGATATATATATACATATATATATAATTATATATCATTGTAAGTCTCTTGACAAATAAGGGGTGCAGTGTCATTCAACAGTGTTCCGGTCCAAGTTTTCTCTGCAATCCCATTCCGCGGTCCCCCCCAAGGCCAAGATATCCGCCGCAGGAAACCACAATAGGTATATGAACTTGACCTTTGGACCCATGATAAGCATGTCCAAAACGGGTTGTTTCGGCCTTTCAAGTGCACCGCACCTTACAGGGACCCCAATGAGCACAGGGAATTGGCCAGGCCTGGTGACTGATGTCTTGGCTGACTTCGCCAAGGAGGAGGGAGATGGATCGAAAAATGGATCGGACTAGATTTGGTTAGCAGGATTTGCGAAAAACATCAGCGGCTTCGGGTCTACTCCAGGTAAAGATTTGTTTCTGTTGGATTCAGAAGCAGGGTGTCATCAGAGTCAAGTTTGGTTGTCCAGATGTAAGTTTTGGACGCATTCCAGCGGCTAGTACATGTTGAGAACCGGGTTTCCAGTTTTACTGGTAATTAATTATTTTAGAATGTGCATTTTTTTCCGGCAGATGATGGCAGATGCGTTTGCCACTGAAAGGCTCGGAGTTCATGTGGCTACAACAAAAGCTGTGAAGAAGATGTGATAGATGATATATTACCATAATGCGTACGGGGTTCCATTTCAACCACAGAATGGATTGTGACGTTGGGAAACAACCATCAACTATCACAAACACATGCAGAGAGTCACACACACACATACAGTATCTTTTATATACAATATAGATTTATATGATTTATATGATGCTCTCTCTCTCTCTCTGTATGTATATATATATATATGTATACGTCTATACATCTTGCACTCAATGAATGTACCAGAAGGGGGCAAACAACTAGGGTAGCAATGGACGCAACTTAATTTTTTCTTATATCAATTTTGCATACGAAACCTTCCGTCTTGAAGGGAAACATGCACAGTTTTTTTGATCCCCAAAGTCAATTCCCCATGTTTTCGCATATTTTATACGTTCCACTGTTTTACTCTATTAAAATTAATGCTTTAACATACTTCCCATGATGTCGCTATAATTTTCCACATTTTGGCCATAACCACGACCACAAATTGGCTGGACACAGCCATGGCAGGAGGCTCTGGCCGAGGCACCCTACTTTGTTCACATGGACCCCATGAAGCTCTTTGAGTCGGGGCTCCAGGTGGCAATGGAACTGGTTGGGTACCACCTGAAAATGAACATGAGTTGAGAGCAAACTGAGTGCTAGATGATGCGTGCTAGCAATGTGCCACCGGGCCAAGTAGCAGTTTTTTTTTCTCAGTGGCCAGTGCCCTTCACTGAGGCCGAACGAGGGCAAAATCACTACACCACAGCATACTGATGCCTTGTATCAACAGCTTCTCGGTTCTAGGCCCTGCACCTTGGGCTTGGGCTTGTGAACGACACCTTGCTTGGGTGATCATACCTCTTACCAGCTGTCGAGCAGCCATGGGTTACAACAGGTGGTAAGCCAGCATAAATATCTGAGTAGGCACTGAGGACAGTGAACATAATTATGTCTGTGGGGAAGGGTGTGAAGAATCTGTAAGAAGAAAGTGTAAGAAAACTAAGGTTTTTTGGCTTTAATTTAGGCGGTGTAAGTGAATGTGTGAGACTGGTTGTGCTGTGTAAGTGAATGTGTAAGCAGTGTAAGTGGACATGTGAGAAGGTTCAGGCAGTGTAAGTGGATGTGAGAGAAAATGCAGGCAATGGAAGTGGATGTGTGAGAATGAGGAGGGCCAGGCAATGTAGCTGGTCTGGTAGTGCCAGTGGCTGTGTGAGAAGTGGATGTTGCGAAAGGCTGATGATTGGGCCCTGGGTGCAGAGTTCCGCTCACAGACCCCCTCACTGATCCCCTCACACCCCACAGTTCCGCTCACAGACCCCCTCACACCCCACAGTTCTGCTCACAGATCCCTTCATAGATCCGCCCACAGGTCTCTTCACAATTGTCCTGGCTTCCACACGTGAGTTCCCCGGCACCCCACGTCACCAAAGCTTCAACAATGTTTCTCAAGTTTGGTGTATCATTGAAGCAGCCGGGTTCTGTGGCTGGTGACCCAAAATTGCACTTTTACCTGGTAAATTACAGATTTCTCACAGACGGCTTCCTATCCGTGGTGAAAGGAAATCTTTGAGGAATTTGTGAGAAATCTGTGACAAATCTATGACTTAGGAGGTGTTTTTCAATTTTTGATTGGCTTGGACATCTAAATTTGTAATTTTACCTAGGAAATCACACATTTCCTCCAGACACCTGGGCCAACCAAACTGTGAGAAATCTGTGATTTAGGTCGTGTTTTTGAATTTTTGGTGGATCATTCAAGCAACTTGGCTGTCTCGTTGGTGATCCAAAATTGCGATTTTACCTGGTAAATTACATACTTCTCACAGATTTCTTACAGATGCCTAGCTATACATGGTTAAAGGAAATCTGTGAGAAATCTATGGAAATCTGTGATTTAGCTGGTGTTTTTCAATTTTTGGTGGATCATGCGATTTTACCTCGTAAATTACACATTTCTCACAGATTTCTGACAGACGCCTTCCCATCCGTGGTTATCCCAATCCATGCGCAAGCCAAACTATGAGAAATGTGCAATTTAGCTTGTGTTTTTCAACTTTTGGTGTGTTTCCAAGATCCAAAATTGCAAGTTTACCTAGGAAATCACAGATTTCTATCCAACACCTGGACCAACCAATCTGTGAGAAATCTGTGAGATCTGTGGGGAACGGCGGGACATTTTTTCTACACTATGTTTGCTTATGGAGGGATGGTTGCTGATAGTTCTGGATGACTTAGACACACTTGTCACATGTTGATTTGTTGCTGTCAATTATATAATGTTCAGGTGGTACTATTCACTTGCTGCGGGTGGTTTTCCTTGTTCTTTTCGCAGCCGGGTAGCGTAGCACTAGCAGCCGTACGACTGAGAGCGTCTTAGTCTTAGTCAAGTCTTCGAGTTTGCAGCCTTAAGAAGACAAAAGATTCCAAGAAACCTTTCATCGCAAGTCGCCGATGATCATCACGGAGGGAAAAAAAACGTGCTTACCTTGCAGACATGCTACACACAACACTTTACTCACATGCCCACACCCAGGCTGTAGTACATCTCACAATTTGTTCAAATATATCAATGAAGACCTTGATTTTCCCACAGATTTCTCACAGTTTCAGCTTGCAGAAAAATCACAGATTGAAAGTCAAAAAAAATAAAGGACCAGATAACCCCACATGTTAAGCCCTCCGATTGTTATGAAAAGAAGGTGATGACTTAGGATGGTGGGAGCAGATGATGATTGGATGGGGAATAGACAGGTGGATAGATAGATAGATTAGATTAGATTAGATCAGATTAGATAAGATAAGATTAGATTAGATTAGATAGATAGATAGGTAGGTAGAGATAGATAGATAGATAGATAGATAGATCGATCGATAGATCGATAGATCGATAGACCGATAGATCGATAGATCGATAGATCGATAGATCGATAGATCGATAGATCGATAGATCGATAGATCGATAGATCGATAGATCGATAGATAGATCGATAGATAGATCGATAGATAGATCGATAGATAGATAGATAGATAGATAGGATAGATAGATAGATAGGATAGATAGATAGGATAGATAGATAGGATAGATAGATAGGATAGATAGATAGGATAGATAGATAGAATAGATAGATAGAATAGATAGATAGAATAGATAGAAAGAATAGATAGAATAGATAGAATAGAGTAGAACCGATAGAATAGATAGAATAGAATAGAATAGAATAGCATAGAATAGAACAGAGCAGAATAGAATAGATAGATAGATAGATAGATAGATAGATATAGAGATATAGATAGACGGATAGACAGACAGACAGACAGATAGATAGATAGATAGACAGACAGATAGACAGATAGACAGATAGACAGATAGACAGATAGACAGAAAGACAGATAGATAGATAGATAGACAGGTAGATAGATAGATAGATAGATAGATAGATAGATATATATATATATA